ACAAACAATGTCCCTATGTTATTCCTGTTGTGGTTAGCTGAATTTTGTTTACTGAGGCGCAAGTGTGACTCGCGGGGGTTGTCAAACCAGTTGCTACACAACTTAATAACAGTTTGACAAAAGATTAACGAAAACTTTCATCAGAAATAAACAAACAATTTAAAAAGGTTAAGGACGTTAAATAAATAATTATAATCAATTCTAACATAATCCCAAGAATTAAAAACATCAAATATGATCTATTCTGCGAATCCTAAAACCCTATCAATAATAGACCCAATTCTATACAGATGACATCCCAATAGATGGATAATAATGCTTTGTTGGTCAAAAACACATGTTGCCAACGTTCAACACTCTTCCTGGATTGTTAGAACTGAATAGTTAACACAAACATATTTCTCCTGTACAATGGAGATCTCGGGTTACCGCTACTGATCCCTGTGTCCAACAGAAGATCAATTAATTCCAAATCAACAGGACAAGTTGGTCAGCCGAATGGATAAGATTATCTGGCTATTGCTGTGGATGAACTCGGTGAAGAAATAAAACTACTCAGTGTCCATGCCAAGCATAGATCACCCAGGGCAATTATTTTGTCTGACCAACTGGACAACCGAATTCCCCTCTTGAATTATGACAATACCTCCCGAGCTCAACATAATGGAGAGTTTGTGTGGGGGTCTTAAGTACACGTCCCGCACAGTTAGAGAAAGTTTATTAGCGTGCTGATAAGAGAACTGACCGACAAACATGGCAGTTAATATGTTATTTTGCCAGACTGATATGTCCACGTACCCTCAAGAAAATGACAGTTCCCATTAACAAATTGCTTATTCAAGTATACTGCAGATACCACCCATCTCTTTCTATACTTAACAAAGTTTCATCTTAAAGGGTGGCTTGTGATGTGTTTGAGATGTATGTTCAAGATACTGGGTGGGGTGAATTTGCTGCCTATATCTTTTCTGAGATAATGTGTCTAAATACACAAGCAAATTAAAGACAAATCAATTAGAAACTTCAAAAGAAGGGTGCAACCAACTTGAAAACTGTTCTAAATGGTAACAGAAAAATTGAAAGTGTAATTTGAAAGTATTTTATAATATGCTTGGATTTTAATAAAAGGCACCAATAACTGTCATACCTAAGATTTTTGATAATAGAAAATGTTTAAACTATAAACAAAATTAAAGAGTTTGTATCAAAGTGCTACAGTACTACTGCATTGTTCACAGATAAAACTACCTGTTTTTGAAACATGCTATCAACATGTCACAAGGATTGGGAAAGGCAGGGGCCGTGGGCCATTTTGCACATTAGAATAAAAAATGGCCCATTAATATTTTGAAGTTTACTATTGATACCAGGGCAGTGGCCCATTCTAAATCCAGGGCTAATAATCCTGAAAATGGCCCATTGTCAAAGTTCTCTATCCCAATCCCTGATGTCAGCTAGAATGTACATATCCTTCTAATCATTTACATCATTATAATTAACCTTTATAAGGAGGATCAAATCAGTGACTCACTGATCCCCTAATTTTGAACTTTTAGAACATTCAAATCAATATATAAAATATTTTACATAGCATTGTACAGTAAATTCTACATTATATAGAACATAATTACCTCATTACTTTTATTCTATTTTTTTCCCAACACTCATCAAGTAGGGATTGCCACACAGGACATATCAATTAGCCGGTTCACAGACTAACACTTTCTAGATTACATTTCTGAACTAAAGACGCACTTGCCTTTTCAGTACTAACACTTTCTATTTTGGTTCACAAACAAAACTCGTAATACAAATGCATTACAGTGAAATGACAACTTGACAACCAAATTCATCATTCTTGATACATACCCTTCTAAAATTAACACTGACACTTGTTTACGATCAACTACCAATGTGCCATGTAGGCCTATTGTCTACAGACAGGGCTTTCTGAACCTTTTAAGTAAATGTTTGTATGGGATAAAGTGTCCGCCATTATCAGCTGTTTAGATATCTACAACAGCGGTGTAAGTAGGCCCTTCTATAGGCTCAATGTACACATTCTGTAAACATTTGAGGTTATCAAAATTATATTACTTCAAAACTTTATAAGATCATTTTATAATAAATTCTTTGATATATTTTGCTTTTAAAGGAGCAAATTATTTCCTTTCCCTTTACCTTGCTGACAAGTTAGCAAGATGGTTGTTACAACCCAATATATATTTTCGGTGACAACTCACGACACATTCAGTTGAGTGTACTGGGAGATAATCTGATCTGGGATGTCCTGTAGGTGTTAAACTGCAACCACCTGTTAAATACGATTTCTTCTTCGTTTCAAATAGAAACTACTTTGCAAAACTGCATTTCTTGAAAGAACACCTGGATAAAGTGGATCAAGGATTACCTGATTGCCGACAGGTGAACCAGGTTGTCGAACGATCGATATAAAAATATAGTGTCATCCTTACCTTCCAGGTTATCCATGGTGTACCCGAGTCTCAGTATAATCCTCAGCTGTGGCTATCCTCATAATGACAAATGTCAACAAAATATTCCATCAAGTTTGTGTAGAAAATTGTATTCCATTCTTTCACAACAAGCGACAAGTTGATCACAATGACTACACACGAACAGGTTCCCTACAGAAATGAGGTCGCTAGCATGCTTGTGTGTTGCCTCTGAAGCTATTCTGGGCTGTTACTATAAAACTAGGATTACACATGGAACGAGAATAAACCGATAACAAGATTAGTCTTGACAGAGTTATCTACCTTGCATTGTTATGTGATTTAGCGAAAAGCGCAACATATTCGTCACAACAAGGCAATTTATACAGACCCTACTGAAATTATTTCGTGTCAAATAACATGGATATCGTTTTCCATGACGTTATTTTAACTTTTAATGGCATATGTTACATAAATTGATGAATAGCATGGCGAGTGTGTGATCAAAATGGTTGTTCAAAAGTTAAGAAAATCAAAACCAAACATTATGGTAAAGAATATTCTAAAGATATCAAGGTTCAGGACAATCTAGAACTTATATACATTCTTCCGGTTTCTCATCTTTATTACAAACCAAAATAAACTTAATTAGCCCTGTTTTAATCAGATCAGATTTATCGTCTGTTTTCGTCATCTGTGTGGCGTAATCAATAATGCATATGTACATAATTAACCCTAAATTGTATCAGATGTAGAAAGGATTCTAAACAGACAAAAATACATATTACTTCATAGTATTTTACGTATTTCACTATATTGTCTTCATTTTTGTCAGTTCTATAAGAGAAACACTTAAGACAAACACTTATAAAATACTATTGCAGAGGCCCAGATAAGCTGCGTATCCGGGTAAAATACGCATAGAAAATTCCCATTTACGCATTGAAAAATAATTGTTGCGTACCCATTACGCATTTAAAATGTTAGATACGCAAAAAGTTTAAAACAAGTGCGTACGGAATATATTTATAAAAATCGCTTGGGTATGAAAATGACATTGATTGCTATCATGTTGTGCTGTTAGTATAGGGCAAGTGTTGTACTGTCAGTATAGGATGAGTGATTTCTATTATATTTAAGTTGGTTTTGATTAGGAATGACATAAGGCAGAACATACCTGCTTAGTAAACTTACTCAATGACATAATACTTAGGTGAGTAAAATGACTGAAATAAGCACATATTAGAAAGCAGTGGGTAACGGATAATGAAATACCCACTCAACATTCATAATACCCACTCCAAAAAAATACAGTGGGTACAGTACCCACATGAGCTAAATCTTATCTGGAGCTCTGACTATTGTACTTGACCTAATCTTACTACATACCGTAAACTGTTTCCACACAAAAAATATCGACTCTAAAAAACAATCTTCTGGAACACATAATCAACTGATTTCTACCTTGCTGCACATTTCTTCATAATAAGGTTCTAACCCTGGTACTACATTAAGGAATTTGTTTATTAACTGGAATATTCCACACTAAATCAAATCAGAATGATGTCTGGGTGTAGTAAATGCGTTTTATTTTGAAAATATATTCATGTACGTGGTATATTGTTTATGATCTATTTGGGAAATACACGAAGTTGCAAGTAGGTAACGGGTGTTCTACTGAATAAACACGAAGTGTGTGTATTCAACATGTACATGTACGCTTAAACCTCATTAAGATTAGAATTCTATAATAACAGGTTTATTGACCAATCAAAGTTAATTGGCACAAATCGGTAGACAGACAACAACTCGGCCATCAACGCCGACGACGAATTTAAAGGAGTCGGACATATTTCCTTACTATCAAGACCCATGGTAATATATCAGGAGGTAACGCGTACATGTTCTTTTCAAACAATATAGAACAAACTTTATGGATAACAACTTTTTTTTATCATGCTTGACAACGGTACAAGAATCTGTATCGAAACGTCGCACTCACCAATAAAAAGAAGTTGTTATCCATAAAGTTTGTTCTATATTGTACTTCCCAACTTCTTAAATGCCACTCAAAGAAGTTCTTTTCAAACATCCAACTTTTATTTTTAACAAAACCTTTTCCATGTGTAAATTCACCAACACTATTAAAAAGCATAATTTTTTATGTAAATTAAAAGCAATGCTTTTTTTATGTGCATTCCAAAGTTGCAAGCAGCCTTTTTCAGAATAAACTGAGGTAAACAAAAATCCCCATCAGTTTTTTTTTTAATGTCATTAAAACCTGAAAGAACTGTTGTTAAATTGATGACGTCATTTCAACCATCACTCAATCCTAGTTTGTCTATATATCCCATCATTTTATCATTTGTATATACATCTACTGATATGAAAGGAAAATAATTAGTTGCCTCTTAAAAGCCGACCGAAGTTATCTCAGATCCTCTCGGCTGATTCCGCTAATCACGGACGAGTCGCCGAATGTGTTAAAAGGAAATGGTATTTATCAACTTCCTGTGCAAACGCCTGCGCAGAAGTCGAAAACTGCACGTGTGTGAAAAGATGGCGGTACTTTGAAAACATTGCGGTTTAGTTATGGTTGATCATCAATAATTCTGATCATATTTATTGTACAGGATCACCAATTATTGAAGGTACATTACCGGGGCATACTCCACCTATGCCCAATCTTACTTATAGTTTGTGTGAACTCTATGACAAGATAAGTGCCGTGTGTCTGGAGATAACGAAGCGAGTTTCTTAGATTGAATGAAGTCGGTAAATCACAATTCTGTGGAATGTTTTGCAAGTAAAAGCATGAGTGGAAGTACGACTGTTCCATTTAGTTGTTGTGTTTGGTTGTTACGTAATATTTGAGGCTATTATATGCACTATCAGGGAATCTATTGATCTGTGGATGAATGACACTAACATTCCTTTATATCGTATCTTCTCTCAAAGGTTGATTTTCTTCCGTTGGCTCAAAGGTAGTCAGACGCTCACTCGGGCTGTAACTTGGGGTGTTACGTCATACAGACATTGTGAACTCCTGTAAGTTTCTTATGTTTAGGATAAAGTAATCTGACATGTTTTGAATTGTTCATGCGATAATCGAGACAACAACTAATGTTGGAAAACCTTAGTATCTATGTATTTACAATGTCTGTGTGACGCATACCACCTCGCTGTAGCACAAGTACACTGTCCTCCGTAAAGATGTGATGTGCAAAAACCATGACCCAACAATGTTTGAACTCATCTGTTACCTGGAAACAATAGTGGAATTGGGAATTAGGAGACCTGTGATTAACCTAGATGGTCTGCTTGAGATATTTACCATGCCTGTACACTTTTTATTGCAGTTTAGGGTCATGTTTGCTTCCTGAGGATAAGGCAGAAATGATTTATAAGAACCAATCACAACTATAGTTTGGCATGAAATGCATGTGGACCTGTTTTTTTGTAAGAGATATTTACAAAAAAACGGGTCCACATGCATTTCATGCCAAACCATAAGTGGTATTGTGGAGGGTCAACCAAACTACTAACTGATCAGCATTTTAAACAAGCAGTAAACGGACAGGTTACTCAGGGGTACAGATAAGCTGCATATTTGCGTAAATTACGCAAATATTTATGTGAAACCTCAATTCGTATTAAGTCTATTGGGTACAAGTATGCTTAAGTTTTTGTAAATACTCAATACATTTGATCTTGCATGCGTACACACACGTGTCAAATCTTAGCTTGCGTACCGGTGGATAGAAAAAGTAACAAAGGTATACTAAGAGGCTCTATTTCAGCACATGAACTTCTTATCATTTCTCATATTACAGATCAAATATAGGTAACAAGCACGTAACGAACATTTAAACTTTATCATATTTTTACAATTTATGGAAAATGGCAAAATGCTCAGTTGAGTTTAGGTGAGGTGGGTACAATTTATTTGGTTACTCAAAGGAAAATTAGGATACCCAGTTGAGTACAAGTGAGTTCATAACTCAATGACCCAAAAAGTTATCTGTAGCTCTGTTACTTGATCATAATAATGCATGATGTTTTCCTTTTAATCTTTTCCATCTCGAAATTATCATGTGTTTTAACCCAATGATAACGTATATGAATGGCAACGTTTTCCCTTTTTTTTCAAATACAAAACTAAAATGATGTTATTGACATGGTTTTCCTCCTTGTGTTTTCAGGGTGCAGCCCTCGATCAACTGCCATGAGAAACCTGTTGACTCCAAGCAATGTCTCAACACTGCAGTCATTCCAACCAGGAACTCAAAATGCTTTAGAGAAAGTAGAAGTTGCCGGCATCCATGCCGGTACAAGCAAAAGTATGCAATAAATAATTTTGCTCGTGTTAATGTTATATCGCTCAGTCTCACTTCAGTGTTTCATGAAACTGAATGTTTGATGTAAGAAATGGCATAGATAAGATGATTAAACTGATGCTGTTATGCAGAATTCTGAGATGCAATGGTGGTGATGGGCACATTTACACAGCACTTATGCCAGTAGGAATCAGATTGTTATTTACAGGACATACCTTAGTCTCACAAAAATATGCTTTAATTTTCTTCAGTCTTAGAATTCCCAATCTATATCAGACTTCAACACATAGTATGCCATGCCATGTGTCAAATTCTTGGAAATCAAATCTGAGCTACCATGTTTGTTTCTCAGACTCCTCAGACTTTCTTTGAGAATACCCAGGAACTGGCAAGAGATGATGCCATGTGAATCCCTGATAAGACCATTTACTATAAACATGATAAAAATCATTTACAGCACACAAATAATATACGACTGAAACCATCACCCAGGGAGTGATTCATGATGGCTTCTTTCAGATGGGACTGCCTCCGTGGTGTAGTGGTTAGAGCGTCCGTCCAGAGAGCGGAAGGTTGCGGGTTCGATCCCCGACCGCGTCATACCAAAAGACATTAAAATATGGTACTTGTTGGTCCCTGCCTGGCGTTCGGCATTAATGGGGTACAACAAGGACTGGTCGGCTCAGAGTCAGTATAATGTGTCTGAGTGGGGTATTCATGCTTCACTGCGGCATGGTATCTCAGTGGGCTAGCACTATAAAACCAGCTTGAGTCTGGGCTAGTACAAGCAGCCGCACCTACACATACACACGCATGCACGTCGTCATAAGAGCGAAATATTCTCAAGTACGATGTTAAACCCAATTTCACCTCACCTCACCTCTTTCAGATGGAAAAGCAACATGGCTGTACCATGGACCCTCCCTTGAAGTCATCTCAACCAACACTAGAGATAGACTGGCTTCTTGGCAGTTTGGGGCTGTGTTGAAAGATACAGGTACATTCATTACTAGTGTCAAGGAACTCAGCTATGAAGGGAGGCTCAAGCTAGTGGTGGGTCTGCACACCTCCGGACAGGGAATGGTGTGTTTGCTGGACATTGCCTCATCACAAGTGGTCAAGGCTGTGGAACTACCATACCAGGTGAGAGTTGCTGGACACGTGGGGTATTTAACTGCAATACTATATCTACAAAATATAAAATGTTTCTTCTGACACAAATTTCTGTCTCATAAACTTAGCTAAAAATGGTTCTTACATTCAGAGTTAAACGCCTTGGGCATGCCAGAAACTTACGATCGTGGGTTAAAATCCCTGTTCGCCCTAATGATGTTTCTGGGTCAGTTTTTCTATGTTGAATTTCTTTCTAACTGTCATCAAAGAGACTGTCTGAGGCTGGTTTGTAACTTGCATTCTGATTGGTCAGTTAGACTGAGTAGTGTATCACATCCACCTGGCTAATGAAAATGAAATGTTAATTTGAGACCATAAGGCTATTAAAACCTACGGCATGGAGTCAGATAGTGCAGAAATATAGACAATGCATGATTCATGATTTCCCCAGGTGACGAGTGTTGAGACCGTGCTGTCCCACGGTGGAGTTGGAGTCCCGGAGTGGGCCATCAGCGAACAGATGAGATGCTTCTATGGCATTGTGGCAGTTGGGACGCAAGGGGGATATGTCTACCTCATAGGTACACACTTCTTCTATAGCCACTGTTATGTTATGTCGAAGTCAACATTTTTACATTTGTAGAGCTGATGCATTTTTTCAAAATAGCCAAATTTAAACTTAAATTAAAATATAAATAATGAGTTCTAAGCCCAAAATTGAACTGTTAATGTTCTGTTGAAGAGCATCGCACTCTCATCATTAAACTAACAAATGTGTTTCAGATATGAACCTGGATGATGATGAGGAGACGTCGGATGAGGTCAGTCCTCGCAGCCTCTTCTTCATCACGCCTCGGTGTCGCAATGTGAAGGACACACGGAAGGAGGCTCTGTCTAGATCTCAGCATCTGTGTCTGGTGCTTGATGGTATGCCAAGTCTTGTTTAACTCAAAATGCGCATGTGGCAACTTTTTTGCAAGACAAGAATATCTGCGATGTATTGTTTTATTTCTTCTGACCATAATGTTTTCCACTAAATCCACCAAAAACAAGATCTAAAACATTTCACTTAAGTTCTAAATTAACCTTGAAGTTTGTTAAGAGAAGTATCATTCTTGAAGTTTGTTAAGAGAAGTATCATTCTTGAAGTTTGTTAAGAGAAGTTTCATTCTATAATTTCAGTTTGATAATGTCACATTCACTTGTGTCTGTTTTCTACACTGATATCATTGGTACAGGATGAAGACTGGTTTAATTCTGTTTCAGAAAATTCTCATTCCAAGGGAGAGTTCTGTTTCCGTCGTCCTGATGACTCCATTGTGAAAGACTACAGAACAGGTACGCTAGTTATTGTGACTCAGGCCTATTGGAATGTATTGACACAGATGACTTTATTGTGAAAGACTACGGAACAGGTCCGCTAGTTATTGTGACTCAGGCCTATTGGAATGTATTGACACAGATGACTTTATTGTGAAAGACTACAGAACAGGTCCGCTAGTTTGAAAGACTACAGAACAGGTCCGCTTAGTTATTGTGACTCAGGCCTATTGGAATGTATTGACACAGATGACTTTATTGTGAAAGACTACAGAACAGGATGCAGCTAGTTATTGTGACTCAGGCCTATTGGAATGTATTGACACAGATGACTTTATTGTGAAAGACTACAGAACAGGTCCGCTAGTTATTGTGACTCAGGCCTATTGGAAATGTATTGACACAGATGACTCCATTGTGAAAGACTACAGAACAGGCACGCTAGTTATTGTGACTCAGGCCTATTGGAATGTATTGACACAGATGACTTTATTGTGAAAGACTACAGAGAACAGGTAAGCTAGTTATTGTGACTCAGGCCTATTGGAATGTATTGACACAGATGACTTTATTGTGAAAGACTACAGAACAGGTATAAGCTAGTTATTGTGACTCAGGCCTATTGGAATGTATCGACACAGATGACTTTATTGTGAAAGACTACAGAACAGGTCAGCTTAGTTATTGTGACTCAGGCCTATTGGAATGTATTGACACAGATGACTTTATTGAAAGACTACTGGAACAGGTCCATGCTAGTTATTGTGACTCAGGCCTATTGGAATGTATTGACACAGATGACTTTATTGTGAAAGACTACAGAACAGGTCCGCTAGTTATTGTGACTCAGGCCTATTGGAATGTATCGACACAGATGACTTTATTGTGAAAGACTACAGAACAGGTCCGCTAGTTATTGTGACTCAGGCCTATTGGAATGTATTGACACAGATGACTTTATTGTGAAAGACTACAGAACAGGTACGCTAGTTATTGTGACTCAGGCCTATTGGAATGTATCGACACAGATGACTTTATTGTGAAAGACTACAGAACAGGTCCGCTAGTTATTGTGACTCAGGCCTATTGGAATGTATTGACACAGATGACTTTATTGTGAAAGACTACAGAACAGGTCCGCTAGTTATTGTGACTCAGGCCTATTGGAATGTATCGACACATGAGGAAAGAGTATCGTGACTTTCCTGGTTTCTGAGCGTCTATCGTCCAGTGCAATGTATTTCTATTTGATTATGATCACTACCCAGGACTCTTACAGCACCATGGCTTTGTTTTGGGGGTAACATCGCCAGATCCTCCTTTCTCAATATCCAACCAAAATGCTCCTCCTTGCTAACTAACTGACTTTGAGCATGATCTTGAAATCGAAAAGCAGTCAAAGTAACTTTTGAATGTAGATTCAGCGTAGATCTACATTGAAAGTCTAGTCCTCATCAGATCAAGTCCTTAGTGTATCTAGGCAAAGGAAAAACAGACGGAAGTTCCTATGCCACATGTAAAATCAGATGGTGATATTGCAGCTTGTCTAAATCCTAAGAGAGAAAGTTAATTTGATTGCATTATGATAAGACGTATGTCAAACTAGCCTCATAATGAAGCTCAGGTGATTAAATGGTCAACAGTATGTGTCATGACTGAATAGATATATAATACTCTGTATAACAGAAGATAATTGTTTCAAGAGATGCTTTTTTTCTTCCGCTGAAACCATCACTGTTAGTGGTAAGGTCAAATTGTCTTTTGTTTCTTCAGATTCTATCAGTATCACATGCCTGAAGTACATCCCCCAAGATGGCAACCTGGCTGTTGGGTTCAGCTTCGGAGGCTTCCAGCTGTGGAAACTGTATGCCCCAGTCATGGAGTAAGTCGGAACAGTCTTTTCGTTTTTGTGGTATAGACATCAGATACTTTTGTCTGAAGACTTTGGCGTCATGTCAAACCAATTTAGAGAGCTAAATGCTGATTAGCTGTTTTGCAAATGTTTAGGTACTAGTGCTTCAATTTAAGGCAGAATTTGAAGAGGCTTTTGATTTTTGTAAAATTTGAGATCATTTCACGATCTCTGTTCAGGTACTCAAGTCGTCTTGAAGCAGAACCAACAGCTGTCTCTCACATTCTGTACCAGGAACCGGAGAACGACCCCAAGAACTTCTGCTACATCTGGGTGGGCAGAGACAACTCTGTCGTCAATATTGGGTGGGTATACTGGTGCACTTGTGCAGGTTTTACTAAACCATGGATGTCCCTGTCGTCTAAGACACAGCAGCAGATCTGCAGAGTTGTGTCCCCTGGCCATGCCCCGACCCGGGATTGTGAGTTTGGACTGTTTTACCCTGATCATGTTTCACCAAAGTGATAAACATCGGCGACCTGCATCAATTTAGAATTTCACTCACACCTATTTGACAAAATACTGTTCATTGTGGAGCCAAGTCAAACTAACCAATTGAGCAGTCCCAAAGTTAAACAAGGGACACAAGTTTCATTTCTTTAGTTTGAGAGTTGTTGGGTGATGTGGTTTGCTATTCTTTTCCAACACAAGTTCGAAAAACTTTGCATGTTTTGTTGGTATTACTCTACAACTTCTTTTATGCTGTTGTTTGACAGGATTTAGGCCATGGCTGTGATTTGTAATTTGCTTCTGGAATTGCAATGACGGCAACATGGGAATTCTGTGAAAGAGTGTTCTGTGTATGATAGGCTGGTCAAGATGGCTTCATGGAGCGGGTGATATGGTGACGCGCATCATTGTGGGAGGTTCATCATAATATCATTTATGGGTTGATCTGATCCTTACAGAATTATCTGCATCCCCCTTCGCCTTGCTCGAGTACACTGACTGAGGATAACTGACATATTCTCTGTATTTGGTCACAGTGAACTTTAGTTTGAATGTAATTGTTCTGTTTATCTTCACTGATTTTTCAGACAAGAGAGCATCAGCACAATCTCCCTGTATCAGCTGAGTTATGGCAAGAAGACGTTTTATGCCAACTATGGCGTGTTCTTTGAGGTGAGTTGACGTATCGACCTCAACAGATTTTATGAAAGCCAGAACACGTTTGAATAAAAATAATGTCTGTTGTTTTGTTTTGTACCAGATGATACACATCTGAATGGTTACTGTTTGTGTGCCATGACAGGTTGACTGTAGTAGCATGAAAGAAATGGGTGTTCTGAAACATGGGGGATATAGTAGACGCCTCTTCCGTCTGTCTGTCCGTCATCATTTTGTTTCCGGAGCATTACCATGACAACTCAAAAACCGTTGGTATATATATCAAACAGAACCTAAAGTGGTGCCTTTTGCTATTTACAGATGTTTTCATTTACATTTTTCTCGGTTTCCATGGAAACAATTCAGACTTAGTCTCAAAAGGGAGAGGGGGGTTTCGTTTTCGGATCACAACTTGAAAACCTTTCAATATCTTTCAGCAAAACTTGGCAGATATATGAGACAGATCCCAAAGTGGTGCCTTTTGCTGTTTACAGATTTTTGGCATTTATATTTGTCATGATTTCCATTGAAACGATTTGGACTTAGTCCGAAAAAGTTCAAGTTAAACTTTAAGTAATTGTCAGATGATATGTTCTTTCAAATATGTGGGGGCTGGGGGGATTTGTCATCTTCTGATGACTCTTGTTTGAGTGGTATCCAATATGGCTTCCCATCACCCGGGATTTCTTGGAGCTGTTATGCATAATTGATACCCAAAATTGAGCTTAATTATTTGTTTATGTTCTGAAAAGTCACAGAAACGAGAGCTTCTTGATAAGATTTTATTTTTATGTGAACCTTGTTTTGAAAATTTCTATTAACAAACGACAGATTTTGACTTTTGTTGTGAAGGGTAGAGGTATGTGTAACAACACAATGGCTGAACTGTTTGAGAGGAATTGTAGAAGTTGTAAGTATAGATACTTCTACATCGAAAAACTGTGTAAATATCTATACTGAAACGTCGCTATGGTACAATAAAGAAGTTGATCTCCATAAAGACTTGTCATTCCTAACACAATGGCTACTGTTTTCTGTGTCCAGGAGTTGCACTCGGTGTGTCTGCGTATCGAGCACAACCTCGCCGACGACCCATACAGCAGCAGCACCAAGTCCACGTGGATGAGCCAGATAGTGTCGTGCTACACTCTCACCAACCCACTCTACTCTCCACCCACACTCCTGCATGACAACGAGTCCTTCGAAGAAAGTAAGACGTCACCTTTTTGTGTGCTGTGTTGTCTGTAGTCAGGCCTAAACTGTTTAGTCCGTACATGATTTATTTCCTGCAAGAGTGTTCTGTTGTTAGTCTTGGGTATATGGATGGAGTTTTTATTTTTCTTCAACTAGAAAAAATATATTAAAAGTCGCTCTTATAGCTGGAATATCGCTGACTATGACCAAGACAGATTCGCTCACAGGATCGGTGTGTTGAGAGATCGTGTACATGACCTGTCCTTATGTCTGTGTTCTATGTTGAGTAGCCAGCAACATGACCTCTGTTGAGTAGCCAGTGACATGACCTCTGTTGAGTAGCCAGTGACATGACCTCTGTTAAGTAGCCAGCAACATGACCTCTGTTGAGTAGCCAGTGACATGACCTCTGTTAAGTAGCCAGCAACATGACCTCTGTTTAGTAGCCAGCGACATGACCTCTGTTGAGTAGCCAGCAACATGACCTCTGTTGAGTAGCCAGTAACATGACCTCTGTTGAGTAGCCAGTGACATGACCTCTGTTGAGTAGCCAGTGACATGACTTGTTAAGTAGCCAGCGACATGACCTCTGTTGAGTAGCCAGCAACATGACCTCTGTTGAGTAGCCAGTAACATGACCTCTGTTAAGTAGCCAGCAACATGACCTCTGTTGAGTAGCCAGCGACATGACTTGTTAAGTAGCCAGCAACATGACCTCTGTTTGACGACATGACCTCTGTTTAGTAGCCAGCCATGACATGACCTCTGTTAAGTAGCAAGCGATATGACCTCTGTTTAGTAGCGAGCAAAATGACCTCTGTTAAGTAGCCAGCGACATGACCTCTGTTAAGTAGTAAGCGACATGACCTCTGTTAAGTAGTCAGCAACATGACCTCTGTTAAGTAGCCAGCAACATGACCTCTGTGTTGCAGGTAGCCACGGCCCGGACCTGAGCCTGTGTGTGTTTGTATGGGAGGTACAGGACAACAGCCCGGGGGACAAGTCACTGTACCACCTGGGGATGTTCGACATGAACAGATGGTACCATGCCCAGATGCCAACATCCATCAGGTACATCACTACATCACATAATGTACACAGACACTTTGCAGCCTCAAGCCTATGTTCTTGTGTAGAAGGTTTTCAGGGGCACATATCATACAAATGACCAGTAACAGAAACAATTGACGTAAAATTACGCAGATTTTTACCAATATCCTTGGACTAAATCATGAAAAATGAGAATTCAGGTAAAACTTTCTTACAGGATGATGATGATGATGATGATAGTTGTCTGTGATTTTTCTCTCAGTTGGAAGATAGCTTCTCATCTTTTCTTCTTAGGGGTTCATTATTTGAATTATGTTCAAAGCACGGTCCACTTATATGTTTGTGTTCACTTGTTCCAGGATACGAGAGTCGACGATGGACCTGTGTTCTTTCTTCGCTGTGTATCAACTGGGTGAACTGTGCGACCTCGCTAACCCTGATGCCTTGCTTGTGAGTTTGTGTTTACGTTGAGGGTAACATTACTTCCTGATCTCAATCAGTGTCTGAGTCGCGAGAGAAATTGTCTCACAACCCTCGCAAGCCATTAACTATATCCACTGGTTTGTTGACTGTCCCTGACTTAAAATATGAAAGGGAATCATGAAAGCTTCACACTATCCTATACATTGTTTTAAGACGAGTTCTCAAACCACCAGTGGCCTGTAAATGTAAGACGTGTATCTTGTGTTACCAGCACCTGGAGGTGAAGCCGGACTCCCTCAAGAGGTACATCAACAACTCCCCACTCACCCCAGAACAACACTTCTACCCCACCGCCCTGGCGTTCGGTGAGTCATCGTCAGAAATATAGTTGTGGTCAATGTTCGTTTGGCACCAGTCTTGTGTGTACATGAATCCTTGGCTTCTTCCTAAACATTCTGGTGGAGATTCCAAGAAGGAAGTATCTCCAGAACAATTCTTGTCTCTCTGTTGGGATTCCAAGCAGATCTTTCCCCATCGAGTATCGAGATTCAAAGAAGAAAAGGTTCCTATGTCATGTATGGCATGGGGACAGAATGTTTTGTTTGTCTTTTGAAGCTAGTCACACTTTTTAGATTCTAGAATGTTTTTACTTTTGCCTTCGTTGATTTGATAAACGTGATACTGTTATTGTATGACACGTTTCCTGCTGTTACAGATGCTGTGTGTATATTTGAAACTGGCACGATATCTGCCCAGTTTCGTGGACGACAGAGACAGGTGAGCTGAAACGAAAACAGTTGAATACTTTGAAAGTTCCTTGAGTGATGTGCCAAGAGCAGGATTTCCTGTCACAGATGGCACACAATATCTTTATGTTGTCTACTGTGGTGATACTTTTCTCCCCACAAAGCTTGTTTAGAGAGGACATTCAGTGAAGCCAGAAGTGAAACGTGGTGTTTTGTTTCCACTAGGTGTTGTACGACATGGAAGCCAAAGGACCCTCGTGTCTCCTGCAGCCACAGGACGTCTACAACATCTGTCTGTGCACCGGTCTACTGCCTCGCGACCTCACAGCTCACACCACACCTGCAGTAAGTACAACATCTGTCTGTGCACTGGTCTACTGCCTCGCGACCTCACAACTCACACCACACCTGCAGTAAATTACAACGCATCTGTCTGTGCACACAGGTCTGCTTCCAACCTCTGTGTGGTATGACCTCACACCTCACAGCTCACACCACACCTGCAGTACCTGCGGTACAACATCCATCTGTCGTGCACTGGTCTACTGCCGCGCGATCTCACAGCATAACTCACACCACACCCTGCACCAGTTACAACATCTGTCTGTGCAGTGGTCTACTGCCATCTCTGTGTGGCGTAATTCACAGCTGGCGACCTACAACACAGCTCACCACCACACCTGCAGTAAGTACAACATCTGTCTGTGCGGTGGTCTCTGCAAGCACCACACCTCACACTGCCTCAGCGACCTCACAGCTCACACCACACCTGCAGTAAGTACAACATCCACAAGGCATCAAAGGCCCCACACCTTACACCTGTGTACAACATCCATCTGTGTGGCTAATTACACCTTACACCACACCTGCGAGTAGAAGTATTTACAACATCCATCTGTGTGACCTCACAGCTCACACCACACCTGCAGTAAGTACATACATCCATTACAGAAGCATCTGTGTTGTGACCTCACAGCTCACACCACACCTGGCAGAGTACAACATCCATCTGTGTGGCGACCTCACACCTCACACCACACCTGCAGTAAAGTACAACATCCATCTGTGTGGGACCTCACTCACACCACACCTGCAGTAAGTACAACATCCATCTGTGCACTGGTCTACACCCCGTACACATCTCAGTGAGCTCACACCAACCGCTACACACATCTGTCTGTGCAGTGGACCTCACAACTCACACCACACCTGCAGTAAAGTACAACATCTGTCTGTGTGGAGACCTCACAGCTCACACCACACCTGCAGTAAGTACAACATCTGTCTGTGTCGCGACCTCACAGCTCACACCACACCTGCAGTAAGTACAACATCCGTCTGTGTGGCGACCTCACACCTCACACAACACCACACCTGCAGTATGTACAACGTCTGTCTGCCTCGCGACCTCACAGCTCACACCACACCTGCAGTAAGTACAACATCCTTCTGTGTGGCGACCTCACACCTTACACCACACCTGCAGTAAGTACCACATCCATCTGTGTCGCGACCTCACAACACAAACTATTTATGAAAACAGCTAGACATTTCACAAAAATATGTGCGTTTGTCATATTGGTTGTTTTTACCGACAGGCTCAGCAGCGTCAGACATTACTCAACATGGCGCTGGACCACTCAATGATCAGGTTTATCAACTGTTGTATCACAGCCTGGGCAGCGGGAGGTGAGTACAACAGTTGACTCCTAGGATCCATCACACCTGTAAAAATACTATCAGTTCCTGACAGTGTTCTGTTGCAATAAGCTGCTACATCTCTCCTCCTGAAAGTGTGGAATTATGTGAGTCTTGCATGCTACCTGAGTTGGAAATATTTCTTGTGAACATGATTTGTGTTTTCAGAGTTCGTGCAGCAAGGTTGTACTCTGAAGTTCCTCCTGGACTGGGCGTGGGACAGAGTTGCTTCCACCAAACACAACATTGACACTGTGTGTAAGTACACCTGTACACTGACAACATTGACATTGTAAGTACACCTGTACACTGACAACATTGACACTGTAAGTACACCTGTACACTGACAACATTGACACTGTGTGTAAGTACACCTGTACACTGACAACATTGACACTGTGTGTAAGTACACCTGTACACTGACAACATTGACACTGTAAGTACACCTGTACACTGACAACATTGACACTGTAAGTACACCTGTACACTGACAACATTGACACTGTCTGTAAGTACACCTGTACACTGACAACATTGACACTGTAAGTAAGTACCTGTACACACCATTGTAAGGACACTGTACACTGACAACATTGACACTATGTGTAAAGTGACACTGTAAGTACACCTGTACAGACAACATTGACAACATTGTAAGTACACCTGTACACTGACAACATTGACACTGTGTGTAACACACCTGTACACTGACATTGACATTGACACTGTAAACCTGTACACTAACATTGACACTGTACACTGACAACATTGACACTGTAAGTACACCTGTACACTGACAACATTGACATTGTAAGGACATGTACACTGACATTGACACTGTAAGTACACCTGTACACTGACAAATTGACACTGACACTGTACACTGACAACATTGACACCTGTACACTGTGCAGCACAACACTGACATCAACATTGACACTGTACAATAACATTGACACTGTACACCTGACACCTGTACACTGACAACATTGACACTGTAAGTACACCTGTACACTGACAACATTGACACTGTAAGTACACCTGTACACTAACATTGACATTGTAAGTACACCTGTACACTGACAACATTGACACTGTGTTGTAAGTACACCTGTACACTGACAACATTGACACTGTGTGTAAGTACACCTGTACACTGACAACATTGACACTGTAAGGACACCTGTACACTGACAACATTGACACTGTGTGTAAGTACACCTGTACACTGACAACATTGACACTGTAAGTACTGTACACTGACAACATTGACACTGTGTGTAAGTACACCTGTACACTGACAACATTGACACTGTAAGTACACCTGTACACTGACAACATTGACACTGTAAGTACACCTGTACACTGACACACACTGTGTACACTGACAACATTGACACTGTGTAAAGTACACCTGTACACTGACAACATTGACACTGTACAAAGTACACACCTTGACACACTGACAACACACTGACATTTGTGTAAGTACACCTGTACACTGACAACATTGACACTGTGTGTAAGTACACCTGTACACTGACAACATTGACACTGTGTGTAAGTACACCTGTACACTGACAACATTGACACTGTGTGTAAGTACACATGTACACTGACAACATTGACACTGTAAGTACTCCTGTACACTGACAACATTGACATTGACATTGTGCCTGTTATTAATACTTATGTTGACATTATGTTACAGGTGCTCCTCTGTATGACTGGTCAGGTAACCATGCCGACCACCGGCTGCTCCAGGTACTGAACAGGTCAAAGGTCACCTTGCATCACCTGCGGACCATCATGCACTGACTTTGCTGTAAGGACACAGTCGGCACCGACAACAAGAGCAGACTGTGCGTCAGCGGCTTTATGGACAACGTTTTCAGGGCTGATTTGGGTAGTCCTAGTGGTATTAAAGCATGTGACTTGTCTGTACTTCGAAGACCGGGTTCGATTCCCTACATGGGTACAGTGTGCTTGAAGCCCATTTCTGGTGTCCCCTGCCGTGATATTGCTGGAATATTGCTAAAAGTCGGCGTGAAAACTGAACTCACTCTACTACCGCGTGACATTTGGGTGTCTGTAACTGGTGTGTACTCTGACGTGCCTGTACTCTGGTGTATCTGTACTTCCAATGTCTATACTCTCACGTGTCTACTCTGACTTGTCTGTGCTTGCAGGCGTGGTGGAGCTAGAGACAAGGCTGAACGTCATCCAGTTCCTCTCCCAGCATCTGCAGATAGTTCTCTGGTTCATCGATGCTGGTCTGCTGCCAGAGTGTGACGGTAAGCCGATAGGTTGGCGTAATCTTACAGATCATGAAGCTTGATGAAAGTATTGATATTACATGTTGGTACAAGGAGGGCAACAGTTTCTATGATGGTGCAGTATTGTAATGCAGCACAAATTTGCTGCACAGACAGGTATTTGTCATTAGTTCCATGCTGTCCTAAACTTGCACCCAATCCGGTTCACTTTTTGTCTATAACTTTGTTTAAACTGTCAACTGTCAACCAAATACTTCCTGTGGTTATTCTCAGAGACCTGATAGTGAGCAATCGCACTAAATCAGCATGGAGTGTTGTCCTGTTGTTCACAATGTCTAGCACTGGATTGTCTGGAGGATCTGACTGTCTGAATGACAGACCCTGTCTTACAGCTGGAATATTGCTGAGTTGTTGTTAACAACACACAAACAGAACTCAATGAATTTGGGTTTTGAATCCCATTTATGCCCATTTTAAAAATTTATATTTAGATAAATATCTTAGACCTGCTTTTGACCCGCGAAGATCTGGGGTAGAATAGGTCTTCAGCAACCCATGCTTGCCACAAAAGGCGACAATTCTTGTTGTAAGAGGCGACTACCTGATCGGGTGGTCAGGCTCGCTGACTTGGTTGACACATGTCATCGGGTTCCCAATTGCGCAGATCGATGCTCATGCTGTTGATCACTGGATTGTCTGGTCCAGACTCGATTATTTACAGACCGCCGCCATATAGCTGGAATATTGCTGAGTGCGGCGTAAAACTAAACTCATTTACTCACTCACTCAGACCTGCTTTGGACTTTCTTCTTACATTTCACCTAGCACAACTAACATAGTATTCAGAGTGATAGAAAACCCTTGATCTCGTTCACCTTTGTTTCATGGTTCAACCCTGGCCTCTTACAGTTTGTGGACATTGATCAGAGAATGAATGCCGCAGAATGCGTCCGGAGTGTAAATAAAGTTCACTTCAGTTCGGACATTGATCAGAGAATGGATGCCGCAGAATGCGGGCCAGAGTGTAAATAAAGTTGACTTCAGTTCGGACATTGATCAGAGAATGAAACTACCTTCAGTGTTCAGCGTGTATTATGTATACCTATTAACATTGTTATCATCAAGCACTGGGCTCCTTTGAATTGTTACATTTGGAAACATGCAGACAATATTTGTTGACAGAAATCGGTGAGGATGTGGAGGGTCTGTACCGCTTCCCAGCTGGGAACCTGACCCAGGCCTTCAGTTCACGCCGGGCCGAGATACAGAAGCTGCACAGGTGAGTGTTACCATGGCTACAGATGCAGTTGTTGAGGGTCTAAGATGCAGAATCTGCACAGGTGAGTGTTACCATGGCTACCCATAAATGTGTTGATGGTCTAAAATACAGGAGCAGCTCAAGGGTGTGTTACCATGGATACCGATAAGTGTTACCGTGGATACTTACCATGGATACCGATAAGTGTTACCATGGATACTGATAAAAGTGTTGATGGTCTAAGATACAGGAACAGCACATGAGAGTGTTACCATGGATAGCACTGTGGCGTTGAAGGCCTAAAGCAGCCTTCACACGGCAAACTAAAGTTTGACAACACATGTCAAACTCAATTTGAGAGAGTGAACATTCCAGCAACTTGCCACCAACACCAATTTCAGGGTTGTCAATCTGTTGGCAAGAAATAGGATCGGGCTCTATTCTCACCAACTTTTCCATCAAACTTTCAGTGTTGTCAAACTTGTGTTGTTCAGAAACAACCAATTGCAGTCAACGAAATTGTCATGTGACCGCACTGATAGAGACATGGTGCCCAAATTACAGGAAAGTTTTACGACATGTGTTTGACGTGTAAAAACGCGAGTTTGACAACTTTAAAAATTTCAACAACATGTTTTGTCAAACTTAAGTTTGCCGTGTGAAGGCTGCTTAAGATGCAGAAGCCATAATGATGATTGTAAAAAATTGAGAGGTCACAGGATACCATGGCACAGATTTGGGATTAACTATTTTCAACTGTTTTGTTTACTTGAGGGAACATTCTGGAAACAATCAATATTCTCTAGTCATGTATCATGTTTGTTGCAATGCTGTGTTACAGCGAGATCAACCCGACTGAGCTTCTGCTGATCGATGGCTTGGTCAGCTGTTGTGGGGATGCCATCCATGACCTGTGGGAGGGGGACGGAGGGAGTGGCCTCTACCCACCCCCCAGTCTGCATGTAAGTCACGGCCATGTTGTTGTCTTCTGGTAGGAAGTAGGGGATAGAGAGTCTGTCTGGAGATGGTAGATCAATGGTGCCATCCCCGGACATGTCATTCCAAGACATTGTTTGATGATTTTTTTGTGGCTGATTTCACGCTCTGGTAGGTTGGAAGTAATAGCATTACAACTGTTTATATTTAGTCAAATTTTGAAAATATTAAAGCTGTAATTTGTGAGAGTAAATTACTTAACTGAAAGGTCTGTGCTAAGGTTGAATGTGCTTTGTGTAGGCGCTGTTGAATGTGTACCTGTTGGAGGACGTGAGTATCGGGGTGAAGCATTCCATAGTGCTGTACCTGCTGCTGGACCTGGCATCACTCGTAGAGGAGCATCGGCATGAACAGGTTAGTTTCCTTACCACATCCACTACACTGTCCCCCACCTTGCACAACCAGCCCCCACCCCCTCCTTACACAAACATCACCCGCCTCAACCTTGCACAACCACCCCCCACAACCAGCTCCCAACTCCCACCCACACCTTGCACAACCAGCCCCTCCTCCACCTTACACACAACCAGCCCCCACCCCCACCTTACACAACCAGCCCCACCCCCACCTTACACAACCAGCCCCAACCTCCACCTTACACAACCAGCCCCCACCCACACTTTGCACAACCAGCCCCCACACACACCTTGCACAACCAGCCCCCACCCACACCTTACACAACCAGACCCCACCCCCACCTTTCACAACAAGCCCCCACCTCAACCTTAACTCAACAAGCCCCCACACCCCCACTTTACACAACCAGCCCCCACCCACGCCTTGCACATCCAGCCCTGGCTCCCACCCTCACCTTAACCTAACAACCTCTGGCCTCATCTCACCCCTCTGGTGGATTACCTACCTGAACCACTCATGATAAGATATTAATCTGATAATGCAGAATTTGTTTTTCTTCTCAATTTGTTCACAAGTGCACCATACTTCGTTTCAGTTTGCTGACAAGATTGCCAAATTTGCCAAGTCTTTCTCTCTTCCCCTGTCTGTGGTGAAGCAGATCCAGGCCTTCTGGTTGTTGGATCACAAGGACTTTGAGGTGAGGTCATCTAGTGAAGAATGTGTTCTATGTCTGCCGCTGTCTGTCATCAAGCCATTCTATATGTCCTGCTTTAGGGAGTGTTCTGTGTAACCATGGGAGGTGGTAGGAATCATTCTGTATCTCCATTGTCTATGTCATCAAGTGTTCCACATCTCTGTTTCAGCAAGTGTTCTATATCTCTCCTCTGTTTCAGCAAGTGTTCCACATCTCCTGTTTCAGCAAGTGTTCTATACCTCCTGTTTCAGCAAGTGTTCTATACCTCCTCTGTTTCAGCAAGTGTTCTATACCTCCTCTGTTTCAGCAAGTGTTCCACATCTCTCCTCTGTTTCAGCAAGTGTTCTATACCTCCTCTGTTTCAGCAAGCGTTCTATATCTCTCCTCTGTTTCAGGAGGCGTTCCTCCACCTGCTCCACCCAATGGCCAACCTCCAGCTGGGACAGTGGCAGCAGGGCCGGGTCATCAAGTCTCTGCTGTTTCAAGGGGAGAGCAAGTTGGCCCTACGTTACATCAGCCTCCGCAACGTCACGGTGATGTCGCAGGATGAGGTGAAGCTGAAGCTGACGGTGCTGCTGGCTAATGGGTAAGTCATAGATGCACAGATGACATATCAGGAGTTGACACTTTTTTCCCTGTACAGAGTATCAAATGTATCCCAGTTGGGTAGTTTGGTGCTCATGACGTCGATCACTGGACTGTAACATCAAGACTCAATTATTTACAGGCTGCAGACATTAGGCAAATTGTGCAAATAATCATGAGTAAGAAGCAAACGCATTGTTCCCAGCAACGATAAAAATCTTGAGAGTAAATACATTATGATTGAAATGCATGAAGAAATTGGAGTAAATTTTTCCTTATCCTGACTCATGCTTATTTGCTTTCTCATCCTCTCTTCCGAACGGTCAAGTGGAAACTTAAATCCCTTCAGTTCCCTTGAAGCGAATGTACAATCACTCACCCTGAATTACCTCCCTTATTTCCCGCTAAAACCGGGCACGTGACCTCACCTTTTTTTTTCTAAGGAGAATGTACATGGAACATGAAAGTAATGTATGTATTGCAGGCTGATCACAGAAGCGTTCGAGTACCAGCGGGCTTGCAGGGATAAAAACAACATGGCCGACCTCCTGAGTCATCTGTTTCTTGGCTGCCATCAAAGTGAGTAGCGAGCAGAAATGTGACATAACTCGGTAAACATGTTGCTGAAATATTGCTGGCAACCTGTTAAAGAAGTATCTTAAGCCCATTTTATATCTTCAGCCAATTTTTATATTGTATTATTTGGTATGGTAGATATTGTGATGTTATATAGTGAGGTTGTCATTGTTAGTTTGTTAGTTTGGGAGTTTTATAGCCTGAGTGTGTTTCTTATTGATGTTGCCAATGTCATGTAAGATTTTAACTTCCTCACTCACTTATTGTTATTTAGCTTTAGGTAACGATATGGCTAAAATACTGCAGATGTCAAACTAGATTTTAGCTGACTCACCTAGTCACTGTTGCAAAACCAAAAACTTCTTGTGGGATATCAACTTTACTGAGGGGAGATAATGCAGTAATTCTTGAAGTGACGATGACAAGAAAATCTAAGTTGACGTTGTTAACAGTTATATGCACAGATCCTCCTGTCTGCTTCAGCACACACGATAGACCAGCTGCTGCAGCTGCCGCTGAGTGACGTAGAGGAGCGCCACCTACAGAACTACCTGCTGGAGAGTTCGGAGCCCCACTCGGCGGAGCTGCTTGTCATGCACTATCTACAGCGGGCTCGGTACATCGAGGCCATCCGACTGAATGAGAAGATCAAACACCGAGTAATGGTGAGCTGGTTAACATCATGTGTTGTCATGGCCATTTCAACAAGTGATCTTTACAATGTTTTGAAGTACTGTAAGTCATGAAAAGTTCAAGATGCAAGTGTCCCTTTGGTTAAGTTATATAAGGGACACATTTTTATCTTGATATGGAGTTTGTTGTCATGTTGGGTGTATGGGTAGAAATAATGATATGTGCGCACATGTGTGTGTGTGTGTGTGTGTGTGCGTGCGTGCGTGCCTGCCTGCCTGCGTGCATGCGTGCGTGTGTGTGAACACAAAACTAAGATATTAACCATGTAATTAAACGCTAGATTTAAAGTCTGCTTTTCATAACGTTTGGGGTAGCCTCGTGGTTAAAGCGTTTGCTCATCACATTAAGACCCCGGTTCGATTCCCCACATGGGTACAATGAGTGAAGCCCATTTCTGGTGTCCCCCACCATGATATTGCTGGAATATTGCTAAAAGCAGCGTACAACTATATTCACTCACTCACTACGTTCCATGTCAAGTGTGGTCACATTTGTTGTGTGTTTGTGGCCAGTCAGTTATCAGAGTCCTCAACTGTGCATGACAACACCTTATACCTTGGTAACTTGGTCACATAATCTTATGATTAAAAGCAAGACACTGCCCCCTCATCAATACACTAAGGAGGATTATTGTCTTTCCTCCGTCCAGACCGAGACCAGCGCCAGGGCCAGGGAGAGGGCGGGAGCACGGAACTCAATTGTCGATGGATTCTTCCGCACACTGCCTGCCCCACAGAAGAAGCTTGTCGGCGACCACCCAAGCGTACCCAGAAAAAGTCTTGGGAAGAGAATCGATGGTAAATAGCCGGATTCTTTTCTTCTTCACCGCTTTTGAAAATATTGTTAATAATGTTTAATAGTTTAAGGAATTGCTTGCTGTTTTCATTATCATTTTTCTGCCTTGGATCATAAACTGTTTTACGTGAAGGGTTTTTGTTTTTTAAGACCTGTAAAGGAGTTTTTACTCAAAATGGTGTTGAGTGGAAGTATTGTTCCTTCTCAGTGAGACGGCCGAAGCCCTTGTCTACAGTTGTCACCCAGTCGGAGAGGTCAAAGGTTGTTTCCCACTCCAGCCTCATTCTGGCGATGATGGAAAAAGTACAGGAAGTGAAGCAATATCAGGAATCCCCACAAAGGTGAGATAGATTGCCATGTTTTTCACCAGTCTGGGACCGCCTCCGTGGTGTAGTGGTTAGAGCGTTTGCCCGGAGAGCGGAAGGTCGCGGGTTCGATCCCCGACCGCGTCATACCCATAAACGTTAAAATGTGGTACTTGTTGGTCCCTGTCTGGCGCTCGGCATTAATGGGTACAACAAGGACTGGTCGGCTCGGAGTCAGTATAATGTGTCTGAGTGGGGTATTCATGCTTCACTGCGGCATGGTATCTCAGTGAGCTAGCACTATAAAACCAGCTTAAGTCTGGGCTAGTACAAGCAGCCGCACATACACAAACACACGCATGCACGTCGTCATATGAGCGAAATATTCTCAAGCACGACGTTAAACCCAATTTCACCTCACCTCACCTCACCTCATATTGAGTACACTTGCACACGTGGACACCAGGTGTCCCACACACTACAGAGATGATATTGATGGCTGTATGCTCTGTTTGTTCCAGGGAGGAGGAGAAGGAGAGTGACCTGGGGCCCTTTTTATGTACACCTATCACTCCCCGGGAAAAACTGAGATTAAGGTATTGTAGCACCAAAATTACTCCTTCGAAGTTAGGCCACAAAAAGGATATGATTAGAAACATATCAGTGAAACAAGAAATGAAATCAAATTTGAGCCGTCGTTTAAAAAGATTCTGTTATCTCTGCTTGATACAATATTGTGTAAAGAGTTGAGTTCAAAGTATGCCCAGTTGTTGTGTGTTGGCTAAAAATTTACTTGGCAGGAAAAATTAGTTTTCGACTCTCATCACTTGCATGTAAATATTAATGAATCAGTCATACCTGATTCATCAGTTTTCGGAAAGCATATTGCCTCTACATATGTTCAGCATATGACAAAGAGTTTCCTAGTTGTTAGGTTAGCTGTTTTGGAGACCTTTCAATGTGTTAAGTCTTGCAAACTTTGCCTTTGTAATGTCACCTGTTAAACAGTATACAAGTATCATAAGTTGACAGATTGATTGGTAGAGGATAATCTTTAACATCGCCGTGAAACTAAATGGTTTATAATCTGCTTTAGTGCTGTTTTAGGTAAACAATGTTTGATATAAGGAAGAATCATATTTATGGACTGTCATGTGTTCTGTTTTGTTGGATATGCTGTACATGTTGCATGTGTTGTAGGATGTTTTGGTGAATGCTGTTTGTTGTTTTGTGGTGTTTTTTGTTTTGTGTTGTTGAATGTTGTTTGTTGTTTTGTGTTGTTGAAAGTTGTTTGTTGAATGTTGTCCTGAGTTGTCATATGTGTTGTTGAATGTTGTCCTGAGTTGTCATATGTGTTGTTGAATGTTGTCCTGAGTTGTCATATGTGTTGTTGAATGTTGTCCTGAGTTGTCATATGTGTTGTTGAATGTTGTCCTGAGTTGTCATATGTGTTGTTGAATGTTGTCCTGAGTTGTCATATGTGTTGTTGAATGTTGTTTTGAGATGTCGTATGTGTTGTTGGCAGTGAGGTCCAGGACGTGGTGTACCCAACCCGAATGTGTGGATCTGCGTCAGACAAACAGAACTTGTCGGTGTATCAAATTACCAGGGACCCTGCAGTCCTCAACTCTCCCCTGTCTGTCAACAAGTCACTGAAGGAGACACTCCAGAGGTAGGAACATTGTTCACACAGACCGTCAGGGTCCAGCTCCACACGATAGATCCTAACATAGATGTAAAAAGGTCATAGTTACCACCGTTTTATGAAACTTGCCTAGGCTTAGTGATTTGGCTGATTGTGTTTCATCATATTGAAATGGTTCCAGTGGTGTAGATTGTTGGTGATGCTGTCAGTCACAGGGTTTGTTTTCGTCAGGATAACACGATTTAGTCACAATATAGCCGACTGACTCTCCGAACAGTAGTCTTGGAACTTGATAGGTGATATGTGAAAATAATACTCATTACAGAGTTAAAATATTTTTAATAATCCCCTGCAGATGAATCCTAAATATATGGATCATTCACTTCGGGATTTGGTTTTAAGGACCATTTAATTCAAATCTTCCTTGGATATTTTCTGCTTCGTTTCCAGAGCATAACTCAAAAAACGTTCAGTATCTTTATTCAAGACTTGGTAGATATATCAAACATAACCTGAAGTGGTGCCTTTTGCTATTTGCAGAGTTTGGGCATTTTTATTTTTCCCGGTTTCCATGGAAACGATTCAGACTTAGTCTCAAAAGGGAGGGGTGGGCTTCGTTTCCGGAGTACGCCTCGAAAACCGTTCAATATCTTTCAACAGAACTTGGCAGATATATGAGACAGATGTTGAAGTGGTGCCTTTTGCTATTTGCAGATTTTTGGCATTTTTATTTTTCTTGATTTCCATGGAAACGATTTGGACTAAGTCCAAACATATCAAGTTGGACTTTAAGTAACTTTCAGTTGATTTGTTCTTTCAAATTTATGGGGGCCGGGGGGATTTGTCATCTTCTGATGACTCTTGTTTTTTAAACAGATTGGCATGACCAATGTGATATGTTTTTTTATTTTCAGTAAGAAGAAGTCAAGGTATTCAATTGCCGGATCAATGTCACTGCTCCAGACGCCGAAGGTCCGCAGGAAGTCGCCGTCACGGATTTCCATGCCCTCTACACTCCGCACGCCGCAGTCGATACTCAAAGTGCGGAGACTCATCACTAAGTCCCCCAGCCCTGCTTCCAGTACCTTAGGTAGGATGAGTTGTGTGTGACACAATGTGGTAGAATTGTGTTATTGTGTTGTCATTGTGTCCATATTACACTATACAGATTCTTGTACATTTGAAAGGAAACACAAGAAGTTGCAGGAATATGTTTTGTGGAAGCTGCAGTGGGTTAGATGGCTGACTTTGAGTGCCTAACTCTGAGAGTGTGGGTTCAAATCCCAGATGGGACCAGAATCTATAACGTACTATAACTTGTAACCTGCGATGTACATGTTACATTTGACCACTTTCCAAATGACGTTGTGTCCTGATAGTGTCACTAGTTTGCTCTTGCTTGGAGTTATTGCTGTGCCTGATCCAGAATGCAACCATGATGCAGCCTGATTATTGCGTAAACCAACGTTCACTCACACTGTTTTACATCTTGTTTCCATTTCTGTGCAAATAAACCAAGAATAGATACCTGTCTCCTTCCAGATGTTTCCGACAAGACTCCGACCGGAGTACATCGGCCTAAGCGGCTTGGGTTTGCAGAGAAGCTATCTGCAGGTGTCGCTGCCAAACTGAAACAGACAGCTTCCGTCCCCAACACGCCCAAACAGTTGTCCTTTGCTGACCTGCCCGGCTCGTCTGGACGGCAGTCAGCGTCAGGGTCCGTGGCATCAACACCCAAACATCTCCGCTTTGTGGAGCCGACTATAATTGATGATGAACGGACGCCGGTCAAGAAGAGGCTTGTGCCCCCACCATCGCCGCCCAGTCCTCGGTCAGTCAAGAACAGGAGTCCCACGCCAGAAAGGTGAGGCTGCTTGTTTACGATAGATAATTTATGGCACTGTTGCTTGAATGAGATTTGTTGAGGGAGGGATGTCAAGTCATCTAAGATGCAGGGATTGTCTCTGCAGAGTTGCTTCCTTCAAATTTGCCAAAATCTTCAGCGAGTCAGTGAGTTAGTTTAGTTTTACGCCACTTTTACAAATATTCCAACAATATCACGACAGGGACACCAGAAATTGGCTTCGCACTTGTACCCATGTTGGGAATCGAACACGGGTCTTCGGTGTGACGAGCGAATGCTCAAACCACTAGGCTACCCCACTGCCCCAACCAAATCTTCAGAGTTATCTCCCTTCAAAATATCCACTGGTTCCATTAGTCGAATATTTCTGATTCAATAACAATCTGAAAAGAAAGGTTGAAACATTATTTTCGTAGGTGGTATGGTGTTTTCCAGATCAATTGTGACAGATTTTAGCCACTTGACCTTGAACTTGACTTTTTTGGGAGTGAGCCTTTACCGAGTTAACTTATGGAAGTAGTTGTAGAGCCTGAATACTTATCTGCCCCATCCTCGTCACAGCCTGTCTCCCAAGATGGCTGCACGCATGGACAGTTTGATACGCCCCTCGATACGAACTGACCGACAACGTGGGGCTGATGACATTGCCGACCCTGCTAATGATGACGTAGATGATGACATCACCTTCAACTTTAACCCCGCTGATTCAGGTACAGTATTGTTCTGGCCTCTGTGCCACATTTATTTAACTTGTGTTGTATTTTTCCGAGCTATATATTCTGTTCATCATCTAAGGGACATCATCTATGTTACGAAGAATGTATGCTAGAACAGGTGCCCCTATCTAAGCTAAAGCTGTCACAGAGGTACAAGCCTATGGTCTGTTGGGTTTGGGGGTTAGTGCTGAGGTTTTTGTTTGAATGTCCAACCATCTTGAAGCATAAAATCGAATTTACTGACCACTGAATCCAGCAACATCAACCAAAACTGTTATTCACTCACTTGTTTTCAGACGAGATGGAAATCGATGATGACGCCCCCACACCTCCTGATTTGTCGCCATCAGTGCCCACGACGGCGAAGGACCAGCGAGGACCTGAACCCAGTGTCCAGGCAGTGCCAGGTTCACTCCGGGAAGTGGAGGTGGTGCAGGAGCAGCAGGAGGAGGAACCTGCCGATGAGGAGGATGTTGTAGACCTTCCCGAAGATGATGACATGGAGGCTGGGCCTCAGGTTGTCATGGAAACAAGGCCTGTTGAAGCTGAGCCGTGTGTTGTGCGTGAGACACGGGCAGACAGTACTGAGGATGTGGGTGCGGACGAGGACGAGCTGGATCTGGTAGAGGGGGAGATACGGATGGAGGAGGAGGAGCATGCTGGAGAGGCCGATGTCACATCGACTCAAGTGGATGATGGGGAGGACTTTTCTCCAGACACATCTGGGGAGGTTGAAATCAGGACATCCCCAGCTCGGTCCACTAGGTCCTCCCCTGCCAGGTCATTGAGGGAATCCCCTGCTAGGTCATTGAGGGAATCCCCTGCCAGGTCATTGAGGGAATCCCCAGCAAGGTCATTGAGGGAATCCCCAGCTAGGTCATTGAGGGAATCCCCAGCAAGGTCATTGAGGGAATCCCCAGCTAGATCAGTGAGGGAATCCCCTGCTAGATCAACTAGATCATCACCTGCTAGATCATTAAGGGAATCTCCTGCACGGTCTTTAAGAGAGTCCCCTGGAAGATCATTAAGGGAATCACCAACTAGGCCATCAAGGGAATCCCAAGAACGATCACAAGAGTCCCCAGCAAGGACATCAGCATCTCAAGTCTCAAGGGAGTCTCCACAACCGTCATCACCAGGAGCATCACCAGGAGCATCACCAGGAGCATCACCAGGAGCATCATCAGAGCAAACAGAAGAAGCAAGATCCAGATCTCCCAGAAAGGATTCTCCAAGGAGACGGGAACAGCCTTGGTTGAAGATGGAGTCTCCTATCAAAGTGTTCGATGAGTTGTTTGGCGAATCCCCTGGCAAATCAACACGCAGTGCAACTAAGAAGATTACTGATGGAGTGAGTGCTGTGACTGCCACAGAGGTTTCTTCCACCAGCAGAAGAACATCCAGAGATACCCTTCAGCTCTCACCATCGAGACAATCAAAGAAAGCCGAGACTGCACTTGAAGAGAGTTCTCCAGAGAGATCCAAGTCTGCCTCACCAGGTCGTAGGGCATCAAGACAAACAGCCAAACCTTCCCCCACTGGAAGAAAGTCACAGAAAGAAAATGAGATTTCTCCAGTGAGGTCCATGGATGATGAAGCTGATGCGCGAGCAATGTCAGCATCCCCCAGTAGGAGATCCTCCAAGGCTGCTGCGAGGGCCTCCCCTGGGAGAAGAAAATCTAAGAAAGAGGATCTCCTTCATGCTTCTCCAGAAAGAGCAAGTTCCACATCTCCTGCAAGACAAACCTCCACTCGGGCTTCCCCGTCAAGAAGAAAGCCTGTGAAAGACAAGGTAGAAGCTTCATCTCCACCAAGAGGAGGATCAGCATCTCCGACTCGCAGGTCATCAAGATCAGCAGCTCAGAAGTCCCCGGCTAGAGGAGGAAGGGGCCTCCGGGAGGAGGAGGGTGTGCCTGAGGAATCATCTGAGAAAGTCCTGGAGCCACCAGCTCCATCACCAGGGCGAAGGTCAGCTCGGAAACAGCCTTCCCTCCCCAAATCACCAGGCAGAAAAGGAAAGGTGACAAATATTGAAGAGGCAGTACAAGCATCACAGAAAACTCCGGAGAAGACTGAGGAAGTAGCATTGGTCAAGTCTCCAGCCCGGTCAACACGGTCTCGAGGGGGGTCAGTGGACAAAACTGAGGCATTAGCAGGAGTAGAGTCCTCAGGCAGATCAACACGGGCTCGGGGAGGGTCTGTTGAGAAGACCGAGGAATTAGCAGTGGTTGAGTCCTCAGGCAGATCAACACGGTCTCGGGGAGGGTCTGTTGAGAAGACCGAGGAATTAGCAGTGGTTGAGTCCTCAGGCAGATCAACACGGTCTCGGGGAGGGTCTGTTGAGAAGACGGAGGAATTAGCAGTGGTTGAGTCCTCGGGCAGATCAAGAAGGTCTCGAGGAGGGTCTGTGGAGAAGACCGTGAAGGCATCAGGAGGTCGGATGAAGAAGCAGATGTCGCAATTGAAGGAAGTCGAGGAGACACAGGAGGAAGCCAAGCAGCCACTTTTCATCAACACTGACCGTGAGTAGAGTTGGATGATGAGTTTTGAAAATGACCAGACTACAAAATAAGATGTTTGAAAATGGTTTGATTTTTAAAGAATTTAGAGAGAGGCTGAAATGGTGTTTATGCTTTACAATATATGTTAAGAAGGAATATGCCTTGAATATAAAATCAGTACTTTGGAAATACATGTCTGTAGGGAACAGTTTGGTTTAACAGTTTAATGTGATTTATTTGTTAAAAACACATGGCAGATGGGACATCTTGTTTTATATGATTATACTTTTCATTTCAAAATATCAACAGCACTTTGTGTCTTTCAAGTGAATTTGTACCCGTGAACATCCGGGGTAGGGTAGGTCTTCAACAACCCATGCTTGCCACAAAAGACGACTAACAGGATCGGGTGGTCAGGCTCGCTGACTTGGTTGACACATGTCATCGGTTCCCAACTGCGCAGATCGATGCTCATGCTGTTGATCACTGGATTGTCTGGTCTAGACTCGATTATTTACAGACTGCTGCCATATAGCTGGAATATTGCTGAGTGCGGCGTAAAACTAAACTCACTCACTCACTCAAGTGAATTTGTCATTTGTGACTCAGTAAAGGAAACAAAACTTTTATCTCTAGTGTCTGACTCTGAAGTTGGCCCGGTGTCTCCGATCCGACGCTCACCTCGTCTGATGATGAAGACGCTTTCCAAGCAGCTGACTGACAGCGAGGGGGAGGGGGAGACGGAGGTACTTCACTTCGACACCGAGGCTTCCAAGAGGAGGTCGACGAGGCGAACAGCAGCTCAGAAACAGAAGGTGAGCTGACAGGGAATATCTTGTGTTGACTGCAGTCCAGCTTTCTTTACCCATTTCGTGGGTTCGCACAGATTTGAAATGTGCTTGAATTTAACTACCACAGAAATACTTGAAAAGTACTGGATTTGTTGATGTGTCCTTGAAAAGTGCTTGAAATTTCATTAAAATATTTGTTGTGGTTCCACTGACGATCAATTGATCTGTTTGATTAAATTGCGTCTATTTCCTGGTTCCTTACATCATGAAAAAATGGAAACTGGGCTCTGTCTGTGAATCTGGCATTTGCGCTGCAGTCTGATAGATCATTGTTAATGCTGGAAGCGGCAATGTCAAAACCGAAAGTGAAACTTGTCTGCAATACTTTGGGGAAAACAGTGGTGCTTGAAAACATCGTATGTCCATGAAAACTCCTTGAAAAGCCCGTGAATCTCATTGGCTCTTGGCTGTATGAACCCTGTAATGATGTAGTAAACTTTTCACACACTGAAACTGACCTGATGTGTCATGTTGTCCATTATTCAGAATTTGTACATGTTTGACGTCTTGAAACTACCACTATGGAGCTGTAGTGTTTTTTGATCCATCAAAGGTCATTGTTGCCATTAACTCCAGCCGTTCTGTATGTGGCATGATGAAATTTGATGTTCAGTGTGAATATTGCACTTTTCTTTGTAATTTGACTTTTGATGAAGTTGTAAATCCCAGTCATGGATATCGACAACCAATATGTCTACCATGAAGAATTGTGCATTAACTGGAGTTCAACTACCTATACATGTCCTGAGAGAGATGAAACAGTTCTGTGGTCCTGCTTCAGGATCTGTTCATGTATGTCATCATTTCATTATTATAAGGGTAATGCTATTTTTGAGGGCATTATCATTTGCAGAAGCCCGAGGTCTTCCATTAACTGCCCGACGAATGCGGGCAGTTGAAAGACCTCGGGCTTCTGCAAATGATAATGCCCTCGAAAATAGCATTATCGTTATTATTGCTAAAATACATGGAATTTGTGTTGAAAAGAAAAAGGAAACAATGAAGGAATTTGACTGTAAGTTTACTCAAAACCAACTTCTGACAGGGTTGACTGCCCGAATGCAATTACGTCAACAAACAATTCAAGTGACGTCACAACAGAAAGTGACGATATTCGACCTTGGCCTTTGACAAGACCATAACCTGCAACATGTCAAACTATGTCAGTGTTCGGTTTTGGTCCAACAACAACGTTAATAGTGCAATTGTTGAGGTTAGCACCAGCAAGAAAGCCAATATTACCGCTATTTAAAGCGGGAATTCGGGTTGCTTTGACTTGTTTCACCCAGAATATCTGCCAGTCCAAAGCCAATGTCGAATGAACCGTAAGCCCACGCACCCACTATGACGTCACTTGACAACAGAACTGATAGTGGCCCGTCGTTAAGGTTGAGCGGTCCAATATCATTTGAAGCGGGCCTGCAAATTTCTGATAATGGGAGGGCCGTTTCATGATAATTCCATGTATTTTAGCTATAAAGTTTGTTTATTGTTAATCACAGGATTATCAGGTCCAGACTTTATCAGTTAATGACTGCCGTTGTATGGTTGCAGTATTTCTGAGTTTGTGGTTGAGGAACTACCCAACAGTGTAACTGGATGTTAATGTCTCACTATGCCTGTCTGTGTTATGACATGCTGTTTTGCCTGCAGGAAGAAAGTGCTGTGTTTAAGTCTCCTCCCCGACCATCCCGAGTCAGTGCCCCTCTTACACCCCCGGAGTCCGGCAAAGACTCCCCAGAGAAGGTGGAGGAGGTGTGTATCTTGTTTCTCAGACGTACCGGAAGCATTGTAAATTTGTACAACTGATACTACTACTTTGTTCACCTTCTTGTTTGTTTGTTATGTTATTGTCCAACTGACAAAGGGATTGGGCACAAGTGCACGACTTACGGTTTACCCTCGCCCTACTTATGTATCAGTTCATGTTTAACTCTGTATCTATTTTGAAATTTGATATTTAAGTTCTGCAAATGTCCAAACTCCTCCAATGACCCATCCTGAAACTATTTGTGAAAACCGATTGTATATGAAAAAGACATCACCTTTAACTTGTCACAGAGCAACAACGGCCAAGCTGGAACTCCGGCCAGTTTCAGTCAGCACCAGTTGAGTGAAGAGATACACACTGTATCATGGCTTCAGTGTTGTCAGAATGAGCTGGCTAAGACGCCAGGCTAGTGATCCAGCGAGGTTGAGGTGCCGGGATCAGTAAAACCTTGGAGTCAACTTTCTGTGCAGCACACCTAGATTCTGCGGGTACAGCAACGCAGTGAACTTGGACAAAGTACTGTGACTATGTGACCCAGCTGTGAATGGGTACCTCGTTAGGATGAAAAAGCCACAATAAGAGTGGCTGAAGAGTATACACGACTGATTGACATCAATGATCGAGGGGAAAATACCAGGCTTGAGCATGCACAGCCTGGATATTGCTATATAAATATCCTATAATAATAATAGATGTACCGATACATAAGTTGGTCTTATTGTGACACCCCTAATATCGAGGGACTCTTGCAGCCCATTGCCATGATAAATATAGCCCCAGTTGCTGTGGTTGCTGAAGTTCCTCTTTCATCATGTTGTGATGTGTGCTGTTGTTATCGATAAGAATGTATAAACCTCATGTTCGTATCCCGGGAGACCCGTGAAGGTCCGGGTTAGAATGAACCTTCAGTAACCCATGCTTGTCGTAAAAGGCGACTAACGGGATCGGGTGGTCAAGCTTGCTGTCTTGGTTGACACATATCATTGGTTCCGAGTTGCGCAGTTCGATGCTCATGTTGTTGATCATTGGATTGTCTGGTCCAGACTCAATTATTTACAGACTGCCGCCATATAGCTGGAATATTGCTGAGTGTGGCGTAAAACTAAACTCACTCACTCGTATCCCGGGACTGTTTGTGCATCATCCGTTGCGCCACCTGTTTCCAGCTTCTCCAACATTTAAGAAAACAGTAGTTTTTTCTGACTGGTCTCTCTGTGTTTTCAGACAAAGTCACGACGTAAATCTCCAGCCAGGAAGTCTGTGGCCTCTGCTCGCCACTCTACCAGGATAAGGTCCAAAGATGTTACCATGGAAACACAAGAACCAGTTGCTGACAAGTCAGGTACAATAACATTCATTGTTCAGATAGAAATGCTGGATGAAATCTGTCCCTGAAGGATGAGCCCTTGAGGTGCCAGGCAGAACGTGGTACCTTTAAATAAATATTGTCAATGGGTGGAATTGTTGATGACATCTTATTTGAACAGCATAAGCAGCTGCACTGATCAATGTTTAACTAACTCATTCCCCCATCCTCCACAGAAGCTGCTGCTGCTGCTGCCGCCAACACCTCGTCTTCCAGCTTCCAGTTCTCTGAGCCTATGTCTCTGGAGCCAGAACTACAGGGTGGGTACCGTTCTGTCTTACCTGTCTTGCTTAGTGGTTAGACGAGAGTGTACTCTGCGAGGGGGCTACTGTCAGGTGTCAGGCAAGATGATGGACTTAGTGGAAAGTCTGGAGTGATGCAGAATCTAACTGATAGATGGTATTCTGTGCAACTGGCTAGTAAAAATCAGAAGGCGTGCCAGTAAATCTCCAAGTCACTGGGCCCGACTAGCTAGTGAATTGTCATGGGGGTCATTTTTGAATATATCACTCTCTCCGACTTGTTTAGTTATTATACACTTTAAAAATCATGCAAGATTATTACCTGATAAATGATGGTATTTTAACTTTTGCTTAGTTTCTACATTCAAATTTCGGGCTAGTGAATTATTTTGTGGGCTAGTAACTTTCAGTCATAGCTAGCCCGACTGGCTAGCAAAATTTGTAAACTATTTCGCACACTGGTTCTATGCAGAGTTGTGTCCCTTGGCTGTGTCCCGAACCTTTGATGGTTGATTGGAGTGGTTCCCCTGATTCTGTTTCTTGGATTGTAGTCATCATACCCATGCTTGTAGAATTCACCATCGTAAACAACTCAGTAGACAACACAGGCTTGCATCATCGCCACACATCTTCACTCAACATCAACTGAATTGCACTTGATGTACACTCACTAAATACTGTTTACTCACTCACTCACTCATCACCACTCACTCACTCACTCACTCACTCACTCACTCACTCACTCACTCACTCTAAGAAACTGCAGACAATCAGTTTGTCTCTTAGTGCAAACCTCTCAGCTGAACTTCTTGTCTTATATAGAAAATTTCCACTTTACCGCAATATGTTTGTTTTACTTCAGCGAGACTCCGAGAACCAGGAACACCCGTCAAGAATTTCATCTTCTCCCCGCCAATACAGAGGAAGAGGTCAGCACCTGTCGCCAAGGAGGATCCGCCAACACCAGTTACCTCCCTTCTCCCACCTCCCACAGTGGCAGACGACGGAGCAGGACCTTCACGGAAACCAAAGACTAGGAAAGCAGTCAAGAAGGAGACGTAAGTACTCGGAGTCTTCTCATAAGTACTCCCTGCTGGTGGATCTCGGTCACCCTGTCAGGAACCTGGACTGCCCATTGTGACCTTCACATGACACATCACGACCAGACAGTAGGAACGTTATAGAAGGTTTCAATGGTTTCCCTTGATCTTGTGGGGATACAGTATTTGTCCAAAGAATGGAAAGCTGCTTGGTCAGTATTTGGTTCATCAGGAAGACATTATGAATAGTACTGTTTTCCTGCCTGCTGGTCGCTGTACAGGACAGACTGAAACAGGTCCAGGGTCTCCTTTTGTGAAGCAACCTTTAGTTAGGTGAACCTTAACTCTCATTCTTTAACATTGCACTAGACCGCCTCCTTGGTGTAGTGGTTAGAGCGTCCGCCCGCAGAGCGGAAGGTCGCGAGTTCGATCCCCGACCGCATCATACAAAAGACGTTAAAATATGGTACTTGTTGGTCCCTGTCTGGCGCTCGGCATTAATGGGTACAACAAGGACTGGTCGGCTCGGAGTCAGTATAATGTGTCTGAGTGGGGTATTCATGCTTCACTGCGGCATGGTATCACAGTGATCTAGCACTATAACACCAGCTTCAGTCTGGGCTAGAACAAGCAGCCGCACATACACATACACACGCATGCAAGTTGTCATATGAGTGAAATATTCTCAAGCACGACGTTAAACCCAATTTCACCTCACCTAACATTGCACTAAGGACCTTAGTGACTTGCGATCACCTTAGTGCTTCGTGAAAGGAGGCCCAGGTCGGAAGAGTCTTAGTGTTGGTGTCTGTGTCAAACTGTGGCGTTGTATCTCAGAAGACAAGGACTATTAAACTGGCATTAATCTGGACCTTTACAAGCTGACGAAAACACACAAAGACACTAACAGACAGAAATATGTTCACAATAAATGAAAAATACATTTGTTGAAATGTCCATTTGAAAGATGTACATGAAGGGGTTGTCCTGTGTCATTATGAAACTGTTTCAGTGTTGATGTGTGATTTTCAATGTTTACCGTCATATTTGTTGTTTAGGTTTAATGACATTTAAATATGTGAATCTGCTTCAGCTTCATATCCGTCTAGTACAAACAGCCACACTGTGGCAGTTGTCCAGAAGTGTCACACAAATATGGCGGACAGGTTTGGTTTGTTGTTTTCTCCACACTGAACGGTGTCCCCGCTGTGGATCAAACGATCCAGTGATAGATCCTGTGAACAATGATGGGGCACAATGACACACCAACAAGCATAGGTTGAGGCAGCAGATTCTTACCCAGAAATCCCCCGAGGTGGTCAATAGCTATCTAGTATAAAACAAGAATATAATATTATTTCAGAAGCAAGAAGAAGAAGATTGTAGAGCCTCCCCACAGTTCGCCCAGCGACAGCCCGATAAACTTCGTGAGCCCCGCCCCACGACGCCGAGTGACGAGAGCAATGCAGGACAGGGAATCTTCAACATTGGAGTCGACATCAACTGCAGAAGTGACTGCAGTGTTCAAGCGTAAAACACGGAAGAAGGTGTCAAGATTATACTGAGTGCTGTCAACGTGACCGATATGGACTTGAATTTAACTCATCAGTGTTATTCACTCGGTACAGAGGATTCAACAGCTTTTTTAAAGAATTTGTCAAAGAGAAAACATTTTGGCCTATGGTCATTTGAGTTCAAGATACGTCAAAGTATTGTTTCAAGCTTGTATGATTTAATGACTTGTATGATAGCATTGGCATCTCCTGGGTACAGGGCAGAGGCCTGGTTTTCTAGTTTGCTGTATAAGCTAAAGTGTGAATTCAGTAGGCACAATGTACCTGATAATAAATAACATGTGACTGATTGACAAGCTTCAAATCTCAGTGGTTGAACTCTGGTGGGGGGATGGATACTTTTTGGAAAGTTTTGGACAAATTGTTCATCATTGTTCGAGACAGTCACCAGATGTTTTTGTTAAAAGAGCCAAGGCTAAATTATAAATTCCCCCTATCCATGTCACATGCCCCCTTCCCCAGAATATCCGGATCAGTCCTTTGATGGTGTACCTCGGGCAACACCCTATTTCACTGATCACATGTCAGGTGCTAAGTGATGTTTTGGTACCAGGAACTGATCTTTCTCTGAAGAACTAACAGGGTGAAAACAGGATAGATAGATGACAGACATCTTGTAGAGTGGGCGAATTCTTGGGATAGAATCATGTGCAACTTCCAAAGTTTGGCCAGTTAGTATGGTGAAGTGACTGATGACTGTGTACTGGGAGACCGTGTGAATGGACAAGTGCTTTTTGTACAGTGATGTTTGTTTGAAGATTTGCATTTAGAGAAATACGCTGTGTGGTAGGAGTCTTCTACATACATCATTAGGATGATGATAGTAATGATGATGATGATGATGAGGATGATGATTAAGCGAGTGCTGTTAAAGGACCTGCTTCGGCACATGGTACTGAGAAATATCATCACAATCAGATGTTTTACTGCATACGATCATTCTCCGCATGAAGACCTGAAGATGCCTCTAGAAGGTTGCATGTTGTGTTCGTTGTTGAGCCAAGCAAATGTCAGCTTTTTCTGTCAGTTACACTTTGTGTCTACTCTGCACAATATATTACCAACTTTTTGAATTTGGAAATCGCAGATCGTATTTGTGTTGGGCTTCCACAAGAGATACGCAAACAGCTTAACATTTCTTTTGTTACTCGTGCCAAGACTTTTGAAACATCAACACTCATTGGCTGATTAGAAAATTCGACTGGCATGTTGCCCAGGAATATCCCACAGCGAGGGGTCATGCAAGGGCATCAAAACTGAGGATACAGAATGGAGAGAGTGTTTGTGTTTAGAAGCTTGCAGAGATTGGATGGTATGTATTGGGATATACCTGGTGGGTAGGTTACACAGAGGGTTATTCAAAATTTCAACCAACTGAAAAAATCTGGCTTATTATGTGAGCATGTTTGTAATTAAATAGGTTAAATAGGTCAGTTACATTCCATACACAATTCCTAATTAATCCCACATTTGGTATATAATCTGAAAGAGCCAAGAGATGTTTTGCAGAAAGAGACTACCCGGTACCTTACGGTATGGGGGTGGTACGTGATAACTCATTAGGCACACATGTAACCCGTCTGATGGTTACAGAACTGTAACTGAGATTCCATATTGGATGCAGTGGCTCTCAGCACCATCACCCACGGAGCTGTTCCAGCGTCAGCCATCACCCGTGGCGCTGTTCCGGCTGAAGCTGTTGACACGGTATTAAGGAACGTTGTAAAGGGAATGACTGATCATCAAAGGTTGGATGCTTTTTGGCAGAATCTGAAGTGTGCATTGTGAAATAATGATTTTTGTAGTTTATGAAATATGGAGATTAAGAACTCACTCAGTATGGAATCCCCACATGGGTACAATGTGTGAAGCCCATTTCTGGTGTACCCTGCCGTGATATTGCTGAAATATTGCTAAAAGCGGCGTAAAACCATACTCACTCACTCAGTATGGAATCCCCACATGTGTCTATGTGTGAAGCCGATTTCTGGTGTACCCTGCCGTGATATTGCTGAAATATTGCTAAAAGCGGCGTAAAACCATACTCACTCAGTATGGAAAGGAAAAAGTATTTCTTCAGTTATTATATATATTTTAAGCAAGAAGAAAGGTCATGTAGAATATTCTTTTCATTCTTATTGTTTTGGTTTCTAAGTTATGAGATAAAATTGTTACTGCCAAATTATTGAAAAACAACACAGGAAATATGTTTGTGTTTTAGTAAAAATAATTTATTTCCTTCTGTTGTGATGTGTAATTTGAAATTAAAAAATCTGAATGTATTTTAGTATCGATTAGATTATTGGTTTGCAAACTCCATTTTATAAGATACCGAGAAATAATTTTAACTAAATAGATGCTGAGAAGGTCAAATAATGAATGATGATGACTCTGAGATTTAGATAAGTTTCGGCTAAGGTGCTAGTAGCTGAAGTTGGAATGTATTGGTTTGGTTGTTAAATGGAAATAAAATCGTTTTTATTTATTATCTGATTTACTAAGAACTAAGGTGTGAGTTGTATAAGTTAAGATGTTATGTGTTAATGTGAGTCACAATGAGGTTGGATGTATGTGAAACTGTAAGCCTGTATTATGGCAGGAGCTGTACATTTGAAAACATTCTGTAGTGTGACGTTGTGGAGAATGTATTGTATACATAGTGTTCACTGGACCATGTGCTGTAACTCGCTGATATTTGTAAATTGTAAACGTGTTTGTCTCTGATGTATGTATCAAATGTGTATGGAATAAAAGCCACATTTTCCTAAATGCTGAATTTCATGTTCTTCATGTATATATTTATGAAGCGAGTGAGTGAGTGAGTTGCAGGCTTTTTCGATGTAGATTCTGGCAGCTCTTGCACAATGTATCAGGGAAATAATAAAATAGATTAGTATATTTTCACTTCATAAATACACCCGTGAAGGTCAAGGTTAGGATGAACCTTCAGTAACCCATGCTTGTCGTAAGAGGCGACTAACGGGATCGGGTGGTCAGACTGGCTGACATGGTTGACACATGTCATCGGTTCCCAATTGCGCAGATCGATGCTTATGCTGTTGATCACTGGATTGTCTGGTCCCGACTTGATTACTTAGGGGTTAAAGCGTTGGCTCGTCACGCCGATGGCCTGGGTTCGATTCTCCACATGGGTGCAATGTGTGAAGCCCATTTCTGGTGTCCCCCGCCGTGATGTTGCTAAAAGCGGCGTAAAGCTGTACTTAATCACCCACACTGTGGCATGATGCTCAATGAGTGGGAAACGTAACTCCCACTTTCAGAATATCGTTGATTTCACACACTACTCAAAGGAATGAATACCAACAACTGAACTGTGACAAAATATAAATTTCTTTATTTCTTTGTCTGATGTTTAAACAGTTTAGATACACCACAAACAGCCGAGTTACATCGCCATGGCAACAGCTGTTTGATTTGAAGACCGCTAACAAATCAAAGGTACGATTAGCAAGTCATGGATGAGGTCAAAAAGGAGGATTTATAATTGACTTAATCGCAACTGAAAGACGAATGAATATTAACATAATGATATGAAGAGATAGTGTTTCTTGCTTTAAAGACCGACACTTTAATAACGGGACATTTGAAGAGGTGATCTTTCTTATCGTCAAATAATGTTTTGAAGATAACAAAATAAATCGATAAATATCCCTAAATTTCGTTTCGTTTAATACGGTTACTAATTACTATTTTAAGATATTAAACCTTTTATGGAATGCCTTAACACGATTTTAATTCCCCCTAAACGATATGGTGTACAATCGGTTAAAAACTTTATAATGCTAATTCCAAATATATTCCATTATTTTTCAATAATCACAAAAATATGTAACTGTGTTGTAATATTTCGTTTTCCTGCGAAACGAGAATGTGCTGTTTAGTTTTGAACCATACTGTATTCTTTCCGGCATTCATTTTCTACATGAATAAATGGAGGGATGAGATAAGGTCTTTGTGTTCTTTGTAACACAATATAACCTAACAACAGTGAAACAACTGGCCACCCATTTTCATAATTTCATAACATGACTGAAAATCCGCTGGCTAATCAACAGAACAGATATCCAGATGATGACTGACAATCGTACACCTATCCGACTAAACAATCCACGGAGTATGAACAAAATATATTCGTAACCACTCGTGTCATTTCGGCATGTAGGTCACGGAAAGAGGCGAGTAGTTACGAATGAACAAACTACCCATGCCTGATTCCAGAATTCCCAGGTTTAAAAACGCTCAAACACTTTTCTGAACAAGAACAATCGCAGAATGATCTTGATTTTACACATGCCCAAATTTCACGATATTAAGTCAATTTAGACCCAGCCACCAAACCGTGATCAGAGCTGTGTAATCCCAAACATTGAACCTCAACTGGCCTAAACGTGCTCGTAGGGACGATTCAAATTTATTGAAGCAATAACCCAAAGTTTCATTCAAATTGATTTTCGTACACACGATATGACCCTGGCTTTACTAATGACACGGAGCATTAATGGACACCATTCTGTTATCTAGGGTTATTATATTTCCAGTCTATACTCGGGATCCCATCCGCCATCACAACTTCGTTCCGGAAGTGACGTTACCATATCAGTCTATTGTGCCATACGTAACATATTTTCTCTGCCTCGTGTGTTATTTGATTGGATGGCCGAATTTGGAGGGTTTTTATTAAAATCGAAGCAGTTTTAGCGAATGGTTCCTGGGTATTTATGGACATGAAATTGAGATACAAGGTCCAAGCTAATGCTCATGACATCAATCACTGGTTTGGCTTGCCCAGACTCAGTTAAACGCTTCTTGGTGTAACATAAGCTCCTCACGATTGTCAGATTATTGGGTCATGAAAACTCGTGTTAGATCCTCAACATCTCCGCTGACAACTATGACCATAGGCACAGTGTTGTCAGCAAAGATTCAATCAGGGAAGAATATGGATTCTATCCCATGATCCTGTTGCGAATAAGGGACGTAACTCTGAACAACAAAAAGTACTTGGGATGCACACGGGGTGGTGGACTTATGTGATTTTCGACAGAACCAACACTAAGGTTAGCTCAATGATCTGGACAAATCGGAGGGATGTGAATATAAGGATATTGAATATGTCTTGAAGGATTTCTTCATAAATACCAAACAATCGATATATTCGAGACAACAGATAAAAATAAGCACCACAGCACAACCATAGATATAATACATATATTGCACTTTTCGCCGACCGTATAAGAATAAGTTTGAAAACAGACAAACCCCAATATTCGACATATACAAACATACAAATATACACATCGTTGTTAATACAAGGGCAATGGAAACAGCGAACGGGGATGACACGTAAAGAAAAACTTTCAAAATAAACCAAATGATACATCATCAGTTCATATTTCGCCATTTCCTTCAGAAAAAATAATCCCAAAAGTCTGATTGCAAAGATGCCTTCTAAATACATATTAAAGTACTCAATCATAGATGTAATGAATTAAACATATACTCGTGCCAATAATGGTTGTCACCCCCTCCCCACCCCAACCCCACACACACCTCACACCCCACACCCTCTCCAATTAAAAAAATTGAAGGGGGTGACAACCATTATTGGCATGAGTATAGTTCGCGATATCTTAAAATTCTTTGTATAAATACTATCGTTAATAACAAATCCTTCGATAAACGGTCTTTCTCGACTGTTCTACACGAGTAATATTGATGCATTGTAACATGTGATTAAACTACATATATCTCGAAATTTAGATGCTACCTGGAATTTTGATATGGACGGCAGACAGGATTACAATTTGTCGGGGATGTCATGGACGGCAGATAAGCTCACCATTTGTCGGGGGACGACATGGACGTGGCTTACCATTTGTCGGGGATGTCATGGATGGCAGACAGGATTACAATTTGTCGGGGATGTCATGGACAGCAGACAAGATAACCATTTATCGGGGGACGACATGGACGTGGCTTACCATTGGTCGGGGATGTCATGGACGGCAGACAAGATTAACATTTATCGGGGGACGACATGGACGTGGCTCACCATTTGTCGGGGATGTCATGGACGGAAGATAGGCTAACACTTGTCGGGGATGTCATGGACGGAAGATAAGCTCACCATTTGTCGGGGATGTCATGGACGGAAGATAAGCTCACCATTTGTCGGGGATGTCATGGACGGAAGATAAGCTCACCTTTTGTCGGGGATGTCATGGACGGAAGATAAGTTCAGCATTTGTCGGGGATGTCATGGACGGAAGATAAGCTCACCATTTGTCGGGGATGTCATGGGCGGAAGATAAGCTCAGCATTTGTCGGGGATGTCATTGACGGAAGATAAGCTCAGCATTTGTCGGGGATGTCATGGACGGAAGATAAGCTCACCATTTGTCGGGGATGTCATGGACGGAAGATAAGCTAACAGTTTGTCGGGGATGTCATGGACGGAAGATAAGCTCACTTTTTGTCGGGGATGTCATGGACGGAAGATAAGCTAACCATTTGTCGGGGATGTCATGGACGGAAGATAAGCTCACCTTTTGTCGGGGATGTCATTGACGGAAGATAAGCTCACCATTTGTCGGGGATGTCATGGACGGAAGATAAGCTCACCTTTTGTCGGGGATGTCATGGACGGAAGATAAGCTCACCATTTGTCGGGGATGTCATGGACGGAAGATAAGCTCACCATTTGTCGGGGATGTCATGGGCGGAAGATAAGCTCAGCATTTGTCGGGGATGTCATTGACGGAAGATAAGCTCACCATTTGTCGGGGATGTCATGGACGGAAGATAAGCTCACTTTTTGTCGGGGATGTCATGGACGGAAGATAAGCTCACCATTTGTCGGGGATGTCATGGACGGAAGATAAGCTCACCTTTTGTCGGGGATGTCATTGACGGAAGATAAGCTCACCATTTGTCGGGGATGTCATGGACGGAAGATAAGCTCACCTTTTGTCGGGGATGTCATTGACGGAAGATAAGCTCACCATTTGTCAGGGATGTCATGGACGGAAGATAAGCTCACCATTTGTCGGGGATGTCATGGACGGAAGATAAGCTCACCTTCTGTCGGGGATGTCATGGACGCAAGATAAGCTCACCATTTGTCGGGGATGTCATGGACGGAAGATAAGCTCACCTTTTGTCGGGGATGTCATTGACGGAAGATAAGCTCACCATATGTCGGGGATGTCATGGACGGAGATAAGCTCACCATTTGTCGGGGATGTCATGGACGGAAGATAAGCTCACCATTTGTCGGGGATGTCATGGACGGAAGATAAGCTCACCATTTGTCGGGGATGTCATGGACGGAAGATAAGCTCACCATTTGTCGGGGATGTCATTGACGGAAGATAAGCTCACCTTTTGTCGGGGATGTCATTGACGGAAGATAAGCTCACCATTTGTCGGGGATGTCATGGACGGAAGATAAGCTCACCATTTGTCGGGGATGTCATGGACGGAAGATAAGCTCACCTTTGTCGGGGATGTCATGGACGGAAGATAAGCTCACCATTTGTCGGGGATGTCATGGACGGAAGATAAGCTCACCATTTGTCGGGGATGTCATGGACGGAAGATAAGCTCACCATTTGTCGGGGATGTCATGGGCGGAAGATAAGCTCAGCATTTGTCGGGGATGTCATTGACGGAAGATAAGCTCACCATTTGTCGGGGATGTCATTGACGGAAGATAAGCTCACCTTTTGTCGGGGATGTCATTGACGGAAGATAAGCTAACAGTTTGTCGGGGATGTCATGGACGGAAGATAAGCTCACTTTTTGTCGGGGATGTCATGGACGGAAGATAAGCTCACCATTTGTCGGGGATGTCATGGACGGAAGATAAGCTCACCTTTTGTCGGGGATGTCATTGACGGAAGATAAGCTCACCATTTGTCGGGGATGTCATGGACGGAAGATAAGCTCACCTTCTGTCGGGGATGTCATGGACGCCAAAGATAAGCTCACCATTTGTCGGGGATGTCATGGACGGAAGATAAGCTCACCTTTTGTCGGGGATGTCATTGACGGAAGATAAGCTCACCATTTGTCGGGGATGTCATGGACGGGAGATAAGCTCACCATTTGTCGGGGATGTCATGGACGGAAGATAAGCTCACCATTTGTCGGGGATGTCATGGACGGAAGATAAGCTCACCATTTGTCGGGGATGTCATGGACGGAAGATAAGCTCACCATTTGTCGGGGATGTCATTGACGGAAGATAAGCTCACCTTTTGTCGGGGATGTCATTGACGGAAGATAAGCTCACCATTTGTCGGGGATGTCATGGACGGAAGATAAGCTCACCATTTGTCGGGGATGTCATGGACGGAAGATAAGCTCACCATTTGTCGGGGATGTCATGGACGGAAGATAAGCTCACCATTTGTCGGGGATGTCATGGACGGAAGATAAGCTCACCATTTGTCGGGGATGTCAATTGACGGAAGATAAGCTCACCACTTGTCGGGGATGTCATGGACGGAAGATAAGCTCACCATTTGTCGGGGATGTCATTGACGGAAGATAAGCTCACCATTTGTCGGGGATGTCATGGACGGAAGATAAGCTCACCATTTGTCGGGGATGTCATGGACGGAAGATAAGCTCACCTTTTGTCGGGGATGTCATGGACGGCAGACAAGATTACCATTTGTCAGGGGATATCATGGACTGAGGTTTAGGATTACATGTAATATACATTCGAACATGGTATTGGTTTGAGTTCAGTGGATCTATTTAAGTAAAAATGTTAACAGTATTTAATATGTTGACAGTATTAGTGCACAACACCTCATTGTACCGGGAACTTCGATATTGTGTGATACATGTAGTTACATAATGGAGGGTATTGCACATTTACACACACGAACGCACGCACGCACGCCCACATACGCACGCATTCACACAAACACGCACACGCCCATACGCACATGAGATCTATAATATAACCAATTCCTATATTAGGGGAGTATGAGAAAGTGAGAAACTGTTTCCAGCCCCCTGCTTGAGGTGAAGAGATCATTAACCCTTAGAAATCCAGATGTTTGTTCTTGATTCCACGAGGAATATCATCAAACATGGAGTGTAACTTAGATTGCGTTAATCCTGACTTCTTAAAAAATATTTTTCCTTTTCTAAAATCAAATGTAATGAAATCACTTCCAGACAATTCTTTGAAATGCAACAAAAATGGAATCTGGTAATTAATGTTAGAGCAGTTACCTGTGCTATTTCACATACTGAAGTGAGAAATGATTTCACAATGGCATCCAGCGAAATATATAACACCCGAGAGTATTTCACACCAAATGACACCTCATACCTTACGACTGTTTTGAAACACAACATAGTTTTGGTCATATAATTTGATCACAGGTATGTTCGCAAAAATGTTTCGGCAGAATTCACATTGTTTATATGATCACCTAGGACACCAGGTCACAGAGGTCAAAAGCCCTCAGTCATCACATCCGGAAAGCATTCCAAACTTCCGGTATCTGTAAGGAGCTTCCGGGTGTTTGCGCATGTGCCAGTTCATGGCATTTCGCTGGCGACATCTATAGTCACAGAAGTCACACTTTAGCGGTTTCTCATCCTTGTGAATCAGCAAGTGTACCTTAAGATGCCGCTCAGCCGCAAACTCCTTATAACATCCGGGCCATGAGCACCGGTATGCCCGGATGTTGAAATGTTTCACACGAATATGTTCTTGGAGATGAAATTTCTTCATGAACTTCTTCTTGCAGCCATCATACACACAGGTGTATTCCTTCTTACTAGAAAACTCTTTCGCTAGTTCCAGTTCTTCCGGATTCATTTCGTCCTCACAATACTCTCCTTCTTTCTCTCCATGGGTTTCTTTATGAGCATCGAGACTCTTCTCCGTAAAAAACACCTTACTGCATTCGTCACAGCGATACTGATCTATCCCCCTCTTCTCATCGCCATGTACTTCTCTCCTATGTTCGCAGAGATCGGAGAAAGATTTCAAATGTTCGTCACAAAGATCACATTGTAATGACTCCGTTTTAAGGTGAAGGCCACTGTTCAAGGGGAGGTTACTGTTGTAGTTCTCACTGCATCGCTCGCACTGAAAGCTCTGAGGAGCATCCGGGTCCTCCCCGGCTTTGCCCTGAAGGAAACTGTAGTATTCCAAGCCGCAGGTCAAGCAGAAGAACTTGACCGGAACATGCTGCTGTTTGTGAGTCTGTTTCTCATCTGCTGGGACTATCTCGTTGCATACCTTACAGTGGTACAGTTCGTGGAACATATTCTTGGACAGAGGGGAGTCATCTACTGTCGAGGTGGGCGACACGGTCACCCTTTCCAGGGGTTCTGGCGATGTGTGGTTCATGTCTGGAGTGGTGATCGGTGGGGCTGGGTCAGGATCAGATGTAGGTTGTTCAGGAGCAGTCTTTGGGGAAGCTGAAGGAGCTTTGTGTCTTGACCCTCTGGGTCTTATTCTGAAAGATGTACATATGAAGTTTTCACCTGATTTTAAAAGGTTGCTCGATTGTCGCTTTCTTGGTTTGATGTTGATCAGTGACTTAGAAGACAGCAGCATCTCTTGAAACATCGCACCGTTTGATCCTTTAGTTGTCGCAGTTCCTTGGTCTGATGTTTCAAGGTGCTGAGATGCTGGGGTGGGGAATTGGTCTGGCGTGTCCAACTGAAAGGTCTTTGAATCCTGGGTTTCAGATACAGTTTGAAGTTTTTTTAATTTATCATCTTCATTTGAAGTGTCCGCTCCAATACTGTGAGTACTGAGTATTGACAACATTGATCCATCGGCGGATATGGAGGCGGACTGGCTAGGAAGGGTTGTTGCTACTGGTGTATATAGAGTGTCCTTCTTGGGCTTCTTCTCCGCAAGAAGGTGGGAAAGGACTGGAAGCTTGGGAGGTCGGCCCCTCTTTCTGACTGGCTTACCTAAAGCAGATATCGTAGCATTAGGGTACACCATCATCACAGACTGTGTCGTAGAGGGTGAATGAGATGCTGAAGCTGCTGGTGCTGAAGACGTTGCTAATTCCTGTGATGACGTAACTGGCAGAAGCGTCATGGAGGGTTGTGTTGGAGGGGGCACTGGAGGGGTTGGAAGATGAGCCTTGGTTCGAGATCGACGGCTCCAGGGAAGCTTGAGAATACTTGTATACACTCCAGGAAACATTGTGTTCTCAGCAACAACTTTCATTTCATTTGACCTCGCTGGTTTGGATGCCTTAGTTCCTTTGTTGACTGATCCTGGTTTTCTACCTCTCCTGGCAGGGACGTGTGGTTGTGGTTGAGGTTGCTGGGGTTGCTGTTGCAGTTGAAACTGCTGAAGCTGTGGCTGTGGCTGAGGAGGCGGAGGTTGCTGGGGCTGAGACTTTGGAGCAGCATGGACTTGGACCGGCACTGTCTGGAGGATGGGGATGGCTACTATCTGCTGACCACTGCTTGTTTCCACATTGATGTTGCTCGTCATAACCCCTTGACCTCCCTCGACGTTGGTGACTGTCGGCAGCTGCATTGACATCTGCATCGGCATCATGATGTTACACTCGTTCTTGTCACCGCTCAAGGAAAAGGTTCCTGTGCCAGGGACGGCAGACGACATCACGACCCTGCACTGGTTCGGCATTGCAGAGGTCATTACCAGCCCCCCTTGACCGGACACGTGGGACATGATGACGTCAGATGTCATTACCGGTGATGTCATCATCACACAAGGCGCAGCCGACACTGTGGGAGAAGCTGTACCCCTCTCTCCTCCAATTAGCTTCATCTGTAGCTGTCCAGCAAAGGTCTTCTTGTCTTGGCCTATGCCGTCATCTGGAGTTGACCTTTCCGACTTCACAACAACTGACAGGTCCAAGGGTTGATCTGTCCCAGATCCAAGAGGGCTGTCACAACCATGATCTATAAAGCCACTGTCCACGAGTGGAGAACTGTGATTCATCTCCAGGTCAAACATACTCCTCTCGGAGGAGTCTTTCATCACTTGCTTGTCGTCGACAACTGGTGACGCTGGACTCTCCGTCTGCACCTCCTCCACGTGAGGCCGGTGCCATGACGACCGTGCTGGCAATCTGGAGAAGAGGAGACATATGTAAGATGACGTCACTGGGGGTTTGTCAAAGTAAGATGACGTCACTTGGGGGTTGTCATTGGTACCCACCTACAAAGTATGACGTCGTGAGTGAGTGAGTTTATTTTTCCATACTCAGCAATATTCCAGCTATATGGCGGCGGTCTGTAAATAATCGAGTCTGGACCAGACAATCCAGTGATCAACAGCATGAGCATCGATCTACGCAATTGGGATACGATGACATGTGTCAGCCAAGTCAGCGAACCTGACCACCCGATCCCATTAGTCGCCTCTTATAACAAGCATGGGTTACTGAAGATCAATTTTAACCCGGATCTTCACGGGTCAACTGTGAGGTAAGGGACATCCTTTTGGGCTCCCCTCAAAATGTTAAATTCTAAAGTTACAACTGAATATTATGACGGTTATCGGAAATGTTCACATGGCTGACTTCTCAAATCGTCTTTAACCAATCTCCAGAACATGTCACTGCCGTGAAACTAACCCCCACCTAATTCTAATTTATATGGACATGTATGCTAACTTCCATAAGGATTTATTTCAACTGATAGATGAACGACAGTACCTTAGTGGGTGTTAAAGTTGAGTTTGAGTGAGTGAGTGAGTGAGTATGATTTTACGCCGCTTTTAGCAATATTCCAGCAACATCACGGCGGTGGACACCGGGAATGGGCTTCACGCATTGTACCCATGTGGGGAATCGAACCCGGGCCTTCAGCGTCACTGGGTTACCCCCAAGTTGGGTTTGGAGTCATTTTGAACAGTATTCTAGAAATATCGGGGGAAAGACCGAAGTTTACTTCTTTGGTGAAACCTACAAACACAGGTGAAAGACCTATAAACATAACGGGTTTCAAACCATGATCATAGGATCCTGGTGTACCCAAGGGAAGCAATTCCATCCTGAGTCCACTGACCTGTGGTAGTCGTTGAGGAGGTTCCTCATGAGGGTGGTGGTGTCCAGGTTCGTGACGTGTTTCAGCTGCTCAAAGTCCTTGAAGATGTCGGAGGGTATCTCGATGGCCTGTCCCGGGTGGGGGGCTGGAGAGGACCTGTCCTCACCCTCGTCCTCGCACGCCTGAAACATCAAACAACAGATCAGGCTATCCGTTTTTAGCGTTTTAGTTTTTAAAATTTAAATGAAGATAGTTTTAAAATATGTAAGATCAATGTATGTAAAATATGAAAAAGTATTTTTTTATATATATATATATATATATATATATATATATAGAGAGAGAGAGAGAGAGAGAGAGAGAGAGCTGGGGCCTTTATTACCACGGATAACCCGAACTGCTACACTTCTATCTTTCAATCTGACCCAAAACGTCAAAAGGTTTTCCAAACATTACTTGGCCGAAAACAGTCACCGAAACTCCATAGACTGAAGCCAGTCCCAAACACAACGACGACACTTGCATCAAATACATCACCATCCAAAATACACATTTATTTTCGTTTCTTAGCTTTCTTTGCACGGCAGTGTACGTATTTTCGATTAAACTAACTTTTTTGTAGTCTCTGAAATGAACATATTTTACAGAATAAAGTTTTTAAATTCAAATATAATACAATAAAAAATGAGCCCAGAGGCTTAGACTTGCATAGGCTACATTGGGTATATTTGTTTCAGGCTCTGTACGGCAGACTAACTTTCGATGTGAAAGTACCAAATTCTTGAGGAAAGCAATATTTGTGATTTTATAGTTATTTATTCAACATTTGTCAAATTTGGTATCGGCGGAAATGTAACTAAATTATGAAAACGCTTCACTATCATAATAATAAGATGAGGAATGACGTCATCAGCCGCCATTACTGAACACTATCTATTACTAGAGCTGTCGGACAGCCTGTGCTTGACGCAAAGCATTCTGGGACACAAGAACATCATCCCCATCCTCACAGAGCTGCCTCTGTATCTGCCAAACGTGTCTTCCACGATACAGCACTCAACTGTGACGGACAACCTCTTAAGAAGTGATTATTAATATCTGTATCATGCTTCTGGGGCTAGGTCCTGTAACACAATAACTGCCTATCAGCTATGAACATAGTTTTGAAGAAAAAATTGTTTTTTTCGTTCATCAACATATTGATAAGCCTAAAGGCGTTTACAATATTTGACATCACTTTGACGTTAAAGAAAATAGTTTCCAGGGAGCCGAAAACTTTGCCTTTACTAAATTCGAAAAACATTGTCCATGCGTGAGCTTCCTCGCCATAGCTTAATCTTCCTAATAGCGGCGCAAAACAACACTCACTCTGCTAGGAATAGATTTTTTTATGAAGCGAAAGGTTACCGACATTATACCTCTCTTACTGTATCCGTCAACGGAGTACACATGCACTGACGTGTACGGCAGTCGGTAGGAACGCCCTAGCTTCTGTACAGAAGCCGGTGACTGAAGGATGTAGTAAGTCATAAATTAAAATATTTATTTCTATACGTGGGCCCAGAGAGACACTCCCTTTATCAAATTTCCATGTGAAGCAGGAATTCTGAATACCGAAAACTCTTTATATGTGTTGAAGTTTTTCATGGACATTACGAGTGATCACATGATATGTTTACATTATAGTTGGTTTTTTTGTGTGTGTGTGTGTGTGTGTGTGTGTGTGTGTGTTTGGTTTTTTTTGGGGGGGTTGGGTTTGGGACGGCAGTACTTGAACAAAAATGATCGCTAAACATATGGATATCCTGAAAAAAAACCCCAACTTTGGTAAGAATCAATAGAAAAAGAAATAAGCTCTTATTTTCTTTCAGAAAACATTTTTGGTATGTTTTCATACCAAATGCTAATATATATTCCGTGTTGAACATACAGTTCTTCCTCTCATCTTCTCCTCGTCTCAGAATTTGACAGTGTCCCATTGTTGAAATCCCCGACTGACGTCACCTACTCAGACTCCGTACTCCATTAGTGGGTGACTGGTATAATTAATTCGTGATGGAACCCGCGGATGTTGTTTTACATGGGAATGGCATCTGGGTTTACATAATCTTCCCACATGGATTATCGAACCCGGACCTCTCTAAGACAGACCCCCCCCATCTCTCCCCAGCCATAGCCGTGAGTGTTCCCGGGACTGCAGTGTTCGACGTGCCTCGACTCAGAAATGTATTACTAATTCCTCATTAATAATTATCAATCTTTGCAAATGGAAACATATAAAAATGAAATCGCGAGGAATCTGAGACAAGACAAACTCCGCCGAGTTTTGCTACAACAGTTTACTTGTGTTGTGAATGATTGTCAGACAACGACGTTGTACAGGTAGGAAAGTAACCGACAACCCACGAACAACAATACATGAAGTGGGTTGTATGATGTGTCGGGGCGTCTAGTTACAGCAACAGTGAGGCGGTCTTGGACACTGTCCAGGGACACTGTTATCGACCGACATACACATGTAACGTATCTTACATAACCTATATATAAGCAGGCCAAGATATTAGAAATTGCAGAGAGAGAGAGAGAGAGAGAGAGAGAGAGAGAGAGAGAGAGAGAGAGAGAGAGAGAGAGAGAGAGAGAGAGAGAGAGAGAGAGAGAGAGAGAGAGAGAGAGAGAGAGAGAGAGAGAGAGAGAGAGAGAGAGAGAGTTCATTTCATTCAGTTGTCCATGGCTAAATGATTACATATGTTTAATGGTGATCGACTGTATAAGATATTAACTAATTATATATCCAAGATACCATCCATGCTCCGATATTTAGCATACTGAGATCAAATCCCAAGCCAATTCGTTACAGAAATATATTCCTCAAATTCAACCCTCATCTTTGCTCTCCACGTTCAAAATTATTCACAAGCAAAGCAATTTAATGATAAACGAAATCCATAATTTTTGCAATTAAGTAGATAGCGCTGCCAATGGAAGACAGACCATTATACTCGTTCACTTTACCAACTAATTAATAATTATAATTAAACCCGGTAAAGCAGCACTGTTTAACATAATTAATACTTTACAGAAGACAGAACAGCCAGCCCAGCCCAAAACGAACATCCAATTTGCCCATTTCTCGAGTACGTAAACATCTTTCAAATAGCAGTTCATAAATAGAGGAATATAAATAGAATATAAACCAGTAGCTATAAGTGCCTGCGTGCATTCCGATGCTATATGATGAAATAGAGCCAGGGTCGGCGCTTCCCATATAAGGAAGTGCACAGAGAGAGTTATCTCATAGTATTACTGGTCTCTAACGGAAACAGACCAGCACCGCGGGTCGCCCCTATCAACGGACCTCGTTGGAATTTTGTATGTAACCTTTTTCGTGTTTTGGATTATTTTCTTGGAGGTTTAGATTACAAGCCGGAAGTTTAACCGATACAATTTTCTTTAGAATGGCACAGACCTGAAAGTCGGGGAACATAAAAGGACAGGAGACATAATTGAAAATGGCAGAGTGACGCAGCAATTTAATTAATATAGCGGATCTTTTACGACAGAGGTTTATCCCCTGCCATTTCCCCTTGACCGGTTGATAAGTTCCACATGTACAGATCACCCCCTCCCCCAGTTGACAGGCCGCACCCCATGGCTTTCCCAGCGTGGGGGGTTTATAAACAATGAATGGACGTCTTGCGTCTGAATGGTATAAACTCAGCAAGGCAGCTCAATCGTAACCATATATGAACGCTTTACAATAAAAATAAAACCTGCACTAAATGCCTCGAGGTGTTGTGTGTTTGTACCTTTAACAGCGTAAATAAATTCAGAGATTACTTTATATTGATATATTCCTCCTATAAATGTCATGTATATTTGAAGGGGTGTTGATAGCAGATACCAGGTGGTGGTGAAATGCTTCGACGTGAGTGAAACTGACAAGGATATTGACAAAAAGTATTTCAGTTTCGATTACAGTGTTTAAGAATTTCGATGACGATGGTGAATTTAGTTTATAGCAAACACACCGCAAAGGTATTGACAGGGAGTGTACGAAATCTGAACGGGCATAAAAAATAACGTAACACAACTGTTAGACATAGATAATCCTGTAGTAAGTTTCCTGTTTTTGTAGCTGAGTGCACGTGCGTTGTAGTTTCTGCGTGTTACTCAATGAGGCATACTTCTAAGACAGCGCACTCGGGGAGTCATAGCGAATGATTCAGTTTCCGTATTTTTAAACTTCAAGCATTTTAAAATAACTTAAAATAAATAAATATGGCAAAATGTAAATGAGGGAACGTTCCGTGATTTCCTGTGCAGTACACAATTACAATTAGTCATTTGTTCGATCATTACCAAAACAATGGAACATGCTGTTGACTTGTAAATTTCAACCGTGTGTATTTCAACACTTATTTTATATTCATGACAGATCGAATAAATGTCAATATTTTAACTATATGTATATATGTGATTATCTATAACTGTATTCACTCCAAACACACGTAATCACGTGGGTGATATACACAATATCGCTGACAATATCAGGTTATGTCTATTTCACGTGATGTATATATCATGTACATTTCAGACTGGCGCGGTGTTGATAGTGTACTTACCGACTGTGTAGGAGAGTGATCATAGGTGTGCGGTCCATTTCGCCAGTGCTTATTCGTAGGTCTAGCACTTTTCCGCCTGTGAGACATGGTCAAACTCTCAGTATAATCCCAGGCCAAACTTCAAACACATCCTTCCGTTCTCCAAGTATCCTCTAGCATTTTGTGGTGAAACACAAGAATTTCTTCAGATGCCCGACATATCCAAATTAACTGCTCCCAACTTCAGAATACGAGTCGACACGCATGAAGTTAGCTTGAACCCCACAACACAAACTTTTCCGATTCTATCTAAAGTAATGTGCCCCCAAACCCTTGCCATCTCCATGGCAACGGGAGCTTTATTTTCGCCAAGCCTCGCGTGCATTTCCAAATTGGTAAGAAATAGGCCAAACGAGAGTACCCTGCCCATATATGGACGTGTTAAACACCGCCGGATCCCCTTTCAACAAATGCTACCTTTTCAGCATGGAGAGCTCCCCTCCCGTAACCGATGGAATGGTAACTGTGACCTCGTTATACCGCGGTTCGTGTCCGCACTAGTGACGGGATGGTTTCGTTAAAGCGTGTTGTAGCTGCCTTTCATTGTTGTTTGGGAGATGTGGTAGGTTTGGGAAGCTGGAAGATGGTTTTATTGGCACGGGACAGCTGATTTTCTTACCGTTGGAGATTTGCTGTAGACGGTGTTGTGTTGCAAAAGTAAGCTGTTCTCATCAGCTGATTCACCGGAAGAAATAAAAAAGTGAAAGTTATGAGAAATATGTAACGATTCTTCCATTAGTAATGAGGATATGCAGCGAAAATAGGATACACGTAATTATCCCCGAACGTTTAGGTAACAAGCGAGTCTCGATTACCTAGAAAGACTATCACTAATTAACACATCGCTATTGGAGTAAGCTGCTGTAAAACAAATTACCGTCAATTTTTTTATTTATTAAGTAATATTGTAATGTTGTTAAAGTAATGCTCAGACTACACTTTAAACATCGAAACGAGCTGGGGTAGCTGCCTGTTTTTACACACACTCTTTCTCTCTGCCTCCCTCTCTGTCCTGCCCCACGTACCTCTCTCTCTCTCCCCCCTCTCTGTCTACCTCCCTCTCCCTCTCTCACACACACAATCTCTCTCATTCCCGCCCTCTCTCTGTCTCTCTCTCTCAAGCACTAACGGTACTTAATTTCAATATAAATTTATATAATTAAAAGAAGATCAGCTGAGCTACATGGCTTATTTGTACAACCAACAGGTAAAAATATATCAGTTCTCAATCTCATTTTCCTCCAAACCTACCCTTTTTATGGAACAAGTTTGTATGGATAACAACTTCTGTATTTCGTGAGTGCGACGTTTCGATACAGATTCTTGTACCGTTGTCAAGCAAGACAACGGTACAAGAATCTGTATCGAAACGTCGCACTCACGAAATAAAGAAGTTGTTATCCATACAAACTTGTTCCATATTGTACGTCTCAACTTCTAAAAATGCCACTCAAACAAGCTACCCTTTTAAGTCAAACCGTAAAAGACGCGTGTTTTTTAGTTGGGATTAGGAACACTGCTACTTAAATATTAGTATTATAATGACGGGTGAATTGTACCAGTTGTATAGGAAAAGTCACTGACAGTTGCAGTTATTGTAGTAATAGTAGTAGTAGTTGGTTGTTGTTGTTGTTGTTGTTGTTTAACGCCATGGCTTTATGGCGGCGGTCTCTAAATAATCGAGTCTGGACCAGACAATCCAGTGATCAACAGCATAATCATCGTACAATTGGGATATGATGACGTGTCAACCAAGTCAGCGAGCCTGACTACCCGATTCCGTTAGTCGCCTTTTACAACAAGCATGGGTTACTGAAGACCAATTCTAACCCGGATCTTCACAGGTGAATAGAAGTAGTAGTAGTAGTAGTAGTAGTAGTAGTTGTAGAAGTTGTGATAGTGGCAGTAGTTGTCGCCGCAGTAGTAGTAGTAGTAGTAGAAGTAGTAGTAGTAGTAGAAGTAGTAGTAGTTGTAGTAGTAGTATTAGTAGTAGTAGTAGTTGTAGTAGACGTAGTATTAGTAGTTGTAGTATTAGTATTAGTATTAGTAGTAGAAGTAGAAGTAGTAGCAGAAGTAGAAGTAGTAGTAGTAGTAGTAGTAGTAGTAGTAGTAGTAGTAGTAGTAGTAGTAGTAGTAAATGTAGCAGCTGCAATAGTTGTAGTTGTAAATATGTTTTTTACATTTGCATTCCATTCACAGCACAAGCTCCTGGCTGATCCATTTAATACATTTTACCGCCGCTTCCCCGGCGTCAGTCGTTTTTGGAGGAGTGATCGAGAGTTGGGAGACGACGCTGTTGGCTTCGTTCCGCCCACACCACGAGTGTCAGTAAACGTGTCCGTACATCCTTATCACAGCTATGTATGCATTTAGCAAAACAGCATCACACCACAGACGCTGTTCTTGTTGATTTCTAGATTTGTCTTGATTTGAAACCGATTCCTCCCTCACCACTGAGAAATCAGATACATGTAGATGCAAGTGTCATCTAAGTATACCTATATATGGTGAAACGAAGAGACTGCCAATTCATATTGTCACCAAGAAGCGCATGATTGTATTTTGGTATTAAATAGTAATTGACACCAATAATGACAAATTGAGGATGTGTATTCACCATGATCTTTATTAAATGTTTTTCAAGTATTTAGATCGTTGAAAATTGATAAATGTAATTCGTAATATATTTAAAAATTGTGGATCAAGTCGTTATTTGAGATAAACCAGCACACAATCAGTAAACCATAGCTAATATTCTGGTAGAAAGTCGACTCAGGGACCAGTTTAGTGCATTATGATCAAACACTTTAATCCAAGTTGAAATTGTTTACTTGAATAAAGCTTGATTTTAGACTGAACACTTCTATCTATGATGATTTTATATTTTAAAATGTATCAGTTAAATCCAGAACTAGCAGTCTGAACCCGTGTGGAGAGTTTGTCGACGAATGAAACTGTCTCATAGTGGTAGAATATATTCACTGTGTACAATGAGTTCCATTATTTGTTTGAGAAGACTGCTTTTGTGAATGAACGTCAACATTTCAAGAAATATCATTATATGAAACCAAAGTATCAAACAACCAATGTTTGCATGTTGTATAACGCCGCAGTATTCCAGCTATATGACGGCGGTCTGTAAATAATCGAGTCTGAACCAGACAATCCAGTGATCAACAACATGAACATCGATTTACGCAATTGACGTATGTATGTGTAACAGCTCTATTCGCCGGAGCGAATGATGACGAAGGCTCTCTGGGGTTCAATCGTTTGTTCAGGGTATTGTGGGTTTGGTGATCCAGCAGAGTACCGATAATTTAGTGCCCTGGAACAGTTAGGCAATAATATCACAGTGAACAATAACATGACATTTCAACACATCACATCTTAATTCATGACATACTTAATATCTCTCTCATTACACATGTTGAAGTAGCATACATCTTGTTGAAATAACAGAAGTCATGTCAGTATGTTATATTCAATACACGAGATTTAAATGGCAATAGATTTCATTTAATTACATTGCATTGCCTTATAATACAAATGCCCATGATGGCATCTAAAATATCACGTAATTACATACACATTCTCACATTACATACAAAGAATAAATCCAAGAGTGACACAGCTTAATACCATGCAACAAAATTATTAATACACAAGCATTCACTTACATATATACATGTATGGTGTACAGCTTATCAAGCGCATGGCGGCGCCCAAGACCACATGACATACGTCATATACAGTACAACCAGAAACTATTGAGAATTTAAAAATTGTAATTTTTTTCATTTTTTTCACTCATTACTCACGTATTAATGTGAATATTAGCAGAACATAACTCCAGATTCAAAGACAGGTGAACAGTTAGTATTTTGTCAAGTCACCATGGGCAGCAATGCAGGCTTCAATACGGCGGGGCATACTACTGATCAAAGAAGTTAGAAAGTCGTGGTTCATGCTGTCCCAATATCGGACCACCTCTTCTTTCATTTCAGCAATATTTGTCAGATTTTCCTTATTGACACTTTCCTTCATAAGTCCCCAAACATTTTCTATTGGATTGAGGTCAGGGCTATAGCTTGGCCAATCTAATAATGTCATATTTTGGGTCCGAAAACAGGCCTGTGAATGCTTTGAACGATGTTTTGGGTCGTTGTCCTGCTGGAAAATCCAAACATTTCCATAGAACACGTGAGCAGATGGAAGTAAATGTCCCTCGAGAGTATCTGTGTACCACTCACTGTTCATATTCCCCTTCAAATACATAGAGGGGGCGTTGCCCCTAACACAGATATGCCACCCCACACGTTAAATTTCGGACTGTACTTTTGGCGCTGATACAAAGGTTTTTCAGTTTGTTTGGTCCAAATTTCAGTGTATTAGGAAACAGCCAAACAGAACTTTCATCTGAGAAAATCACATTGTCCCAGTTAAACATTCTATGCTGTAAGCACCAGTTCAACCTTCGCTCCTTTTGTTCAGGTTTCATGATCGGTGATGGAATTCCTCGACTTTTGTGCCAACCCATTGCATGCAGCTCAGTTCTAATTGTCTCCTTACAGACAGCCACAGTTCCTCTATCAATCATATCCAGCCTTAAGTTTTCTAAACTCCTTCGTTTGTTTTTAGAAACAAGAATACCAAGCCGCCTCCTGTCACCGACAGTCAATTTTCTGGGCCTACCTGCGCCTCCCTGGTGCTCAATGCCATATCCATTTGCAATATTTTTCAAAACACGATAAACAGTGGACAAAGGGATGCCTGTTCTACTTGAAATCACTTTAGCTGATTTGATGTCCTTGTTATAATACTCTAAAATCAACTTCCTCTTCTCTAAATCATCCATACTGAGGATCACTGAAAATGTCGTCTGCTAGCAAGTAAACAAAGGGGGATAACTCTTCACAAACTAATGAAATAGGATTAACGGAGTTATCTCTCTTGAATGAAACGAAGCACTTGATAGCTGGTCAAGGTTGTTTATACTAGAAATCCAATTAAACATATTCCTAAAATTCTCAATAATTTCTGGTCATACTATACGTTACCGTCTGTGGTACACAGACAGTACAACAATTCATTCAGTCAGTCACAAATCACACTTTGGAGAATGATAATGTGTAAGGAATTAAATTATGAAGTGGAATAATTTATTTTGGAAAGTAACTGTAATTTGGTAAAGATTACACGTTAAAAGCTTATTTAAACTTTTATAGAGTTATTAATTCTAATTTATATTAACTACAAGAAATTATAATACAATTATAGTGTGTGAGTTTGTTCTTTTTTTGCTTTATAAATCAAGCATTAACTCGATTATAAGGAGGTTTTTTTGGTTAAAAATTTACTTCTTACAATATATTGCAATACATATCGCAATACACTGTATATGCTTTCGCATCGCAGTATATCGCCATATGTAAATTCTCTGCAAAACCCACCCTTACCCAGTAGGCCCTCACACGCTTGTCATTAGAACCAGACATTAGGCATTGTATGTTTCACTCCGCTGATTGTTTGGGATGGAGTCACAAAACAACAACAGAACACCATTTTGACATTTTACCATTAGAAGGTAGTGTTTTATGACGAAAGCTATTTCATCTCTTTCTGACCTTCTCTTTCGCCATACCCACATGGAATGGTGACGTTTCGTCAAACATCATCGAATGAACTAGGAACGTAAGATGACAATTTAGCATGTTACTAAGCATGTGCTAATTCTGTGGCAATCTCATTTATAGAATGTCTTTTAATCAATTATAATTTTACAAAACATACCGCGTCACTATAGCTTAATTGGGTATGTACCCGTGAAGGTCCGGGTTAGAATATTGATCTTCAGTAACCCATGCTTGTCGTAAGAGGCGACTAACGGGATCGGGTGGTCAGGCTCGCTGACTTGTCTGACACATGTCATCGGTTCCCAATTGCGCAGATTGATGCTCATGCTGTTAATCACTGGATTGTCTGGTCCAGACTCGATTATTTACAGACCGCCGCCATATGGCTGGAATATTGCTGAGTGCAGCGTAAAACTAAACTCACTCACTCATTCACTTGGGTATGTAGACAACAACAAAAATAGGCACTTAGCAAAAGTTGCTTGCTTTGTATATGCAGAGGACTAAAATTTACAACTAACATCAAATCATTTTGGCAAAATATGACATCATAATAAAAATGCACATGTCACATGGTGTTCCCTAATTTCAGGGAGGTTTACACAGCAGAATATGCATTGAAAGATGAATAAAAATAAATATTGCAAAACAAACCTTTGTACCACGGATATTGAGACGCGCGGCCCACGAAACAAATACTTTTCAATACTATTTATACAAATACTGGCCATAAGTGGACTTTTCAATACATCTGCTGAGAGGGAGGTCTGCAAATGAACAAGTATGGACCAGACAACCAAGTGAAAGTATCGTTCGCAGTTGGGATACGATGACGTGTCAACCATGAGAGCGAGCCTGACCACCCGATCCCGTTAGTCGCCTCTAACGATAAGAATGGGTTGCTGAAGACCAATTATAAATAAGATCTTCGCATGGTCTCAAAAAAGACACACACACACACACACACACACACACACACACACACACACACGCACACACGCGCGCGCGCGCACGCACACACACACACACACACACACACACACACACACACACACACGCACACACACACACGCACGCAAAACATGAACCTATATGCTCAGCATCACTACTAACGACACAAAATTCCATAACATAACATATGTTTCAGCACGGCTCCCACTGCGGCCATTTTGAAATTCGGGTTCAAACCTCATTAACAAATAGCGACGACATCATTGGTGATAATAATCCTAGAGAAAGGGAACACTTGGATTTCAGGGAGACCGCTGTTGGTATGCGTACCTCCAAGGAAACAGAGTTTCTGGATATTGCTCGTAACCAAACAGTTTAAAGTCCGACGTGTAATACTTGGCTATTTTGTCCATGGTTTCTCGAGATAGTTTTTTATACTCGTTCAGCATCATTATCTTCTTCTGCAGCCTGAACATCTCGGGTGACAGGTGACGTCGCCCATTTTCTTTGACTATCATTTGAGTTAGAAGAGCCTTAAACGTGATAGTGTCATTTGTCTTTTGAATCAACTCAAGTAGTTCTTCCTTAGGGAATTCCACCGCTGGTAATATGTAACCATTCATCTTAAACGCCGTCCACAAACGTTCAGCCAGCATTAGACTATCGTAACATTGGCGTAAGTGCCTATTGTAGTCCCCGTAGGCAAACGTAAAGTCGACTACCTGCGTAATTTCGTCTGAGACGAACGTTTTGTGTGAATACTTCGTCAGCAGATACCCCAGCCCGACCTTGTTTAGAATATATTTGGCGTCTTTTGAAAATGACTCTTGTTGTCCAATGAAATCAGGATGCAGTCGACACGGGTCACAAATCGATGTGATCGGCAGCCAGTGAATGTTCGGGTATTTCCGTAACATTGTTATGTTCACAAACTCGGGGAATGTTACGAGTTCCGTGACACATGTTTCATTCAGAACTCTTCTTCCAGCTCTGATCGCAGCGATCACTTTACCATACGTCGGCCATGACAGAAACTGCGGAAGAAGAAATTTGTCCACGTATGCGGAGAAGAGCCTCGAGTAGGGATCTCTCACAAACAGGAAGCGATGCGCATGCTCCAAAATGTCCGTTGTGTGTTTGGTAGTTCTGAGTTGTACCATGGGTTTGAAGTACACCTCGAAACGAGAAATGTCGAAAGGACTTGACATCTGAGTTTGGGTTCTGTTGAGGAACATGAATATCCTTCTCCAGAATGTGCAGCCCACTTTTGGGACGGGGCAGTAACCTATGCTGGTGTTACTACCTGGATCTGCGTAGTAATACATTTTGTTATAGACAGAGGCCTTAATCCTCCTCACGGCGCATGCGTCACGGTATCTTTGGAGGCGGGCTTCGTATTCCCCCTTGAGAGGGTCCATTACTTCCTGTAACAACAAAAAAGATATAGAATAATAATAATAATGAAGACGATGATGATGATCATCACGATGGCAAACAATGATAAATCGTCGAAACTGATTTGGAAAAAGATAACATCATACAAAAATGTATAAATAAATTTCTCGATTCCTTAAACCCAAGATTAAATATTTTCGAAAAGTGGGACAAAAACATAATCTCATCAACTAAACAGCTCAAATCTAATGAAAAACAATTTTCAATTTTACTGGCAAATGAAAACAACCAACGGCAGTGACGAGAAAAGACCCGCACTGGATTCCAGTGAAAGGTTTGGGAAGCAGTTGTGGCCTTACCCTGCAACGGCAACCTCCAGGAACCACAGGTAGAGGGGTACCATAAACATGTCCGGGTCGGATTTTTGAGGGAGGTGGGGGGTGGGGGTGGTTTTGCACTGTTGTCTTTCACACATTTTCTCGGGAGTTTCAATGGTCATTTCTAAACTTTCAGGACAAAAGGTGGGGTGCGCACCCCTGGATTATTGCTGAGAGCGGCGTTAAACAACAAACCAACCAATCAACTACTACTACTACTACTACTACTACTACTACAACCCTGGGGCCCGATCCACAAAGCGTTCGTAGCCTACGTTATTCGTAAGAGTTTACGATCGAAAATAAGAAAGTTTACTAATTTTACGACCTATCCACAAAGCGCTCTTAATCTATTCGTAAATTCATTATCTTACGAGCATTGTCGTAAATAAAGATCGTCGCTCTCCTGATGAGGAGGCGACGAATATAGGGGGTTTCCCAATGACGTCATTACTTCAAGGGAATCCCTGCACTCGGTTAGCAGACGACACATTCCGTGTCACCAACACACCGACACGAATTCCAGTCAGTCGCCAGCCACCATCAAGCGCCAGAGAAACAAAAACTGGACCCACACAGAGTTGAGTCTTCTCGTGGAATTTGTCGAGGCAAAACAAACCTTACTATTTTCGTCATTCACGAACAATGTAACAAACATCATGAAGAAAAAGGCATGGGATGACATTTCACAGAGGTGAGTGAATCTATGAATTTGCTTTGAGTACCGAACTAGGTTGAAAGCATTAGAGGCGGTGACTATATGTATGTATCTATGGCCTGTCTCACTAGCCTGTCACCGCACGGTGGTAATTCAGAAACTAGTCTGTAGGAATTAGCTTCATGGAAAGGATATTATAGTCAGGAGCTAACGCTGCAGTCACACTGGAAGCCATTTTTTACTCGCAGAAAGGGACAGCACTCTATCCGTCTTTTAGACGATGTAATTCCTGGATGTATTATTTCTGATTCGGAGTTCAACCCCACCCTGTCTCTCACTATGGATATATCAAAACACCAAGATTAACGCTTGTCGTTCTAACTTTTTAATAAATGTTCATTGACATTTGTTACAGAATTAGTGCAAACAGTGGGGTCAAGAGACTTACCAAAGATGTCAAAAAGTAGTGGATGGACTACAAGTAAGTGCTGAAATACATCAATATTTTGAACATAATATTTTGCATTAAATAAATTCTACCTGCATGGGATATATCATGTTTGTCCTGACAGTATATATACATTTATACTTTTTTGTTTCATTAGGGGTCAAACAAGGAAAAAGGAGGCAGAAAGGAGGAGGGAGGCAACCAAAACTGGTGGGGGCCTCCACCATCAAGCCTGACAGAAATGGAACAGCCGGTGAGCCTACAGTCCTTTCTGAATCATGAATTTCACGTGTGTCTTTATTAAGATATATGAAATACATCTGGGCATATTGTTTACAGTGTATACAGTTGCTGTTGAATTGTAATTTAACAATTTCATTTCAAGGTGTATCATTCCTGCCTTCATGCACTATTCAAGGTTGTGATGGTGGCCTTGAAAGTGAGAAATTTGAATATAAGTTCATGAAATGTTATATGTGGAATTGTTTACAGCTGAAACAATCTCAAATGAAATGTTAATTAATATATTTGACACATAGTGTCTCACAAATAAAGGTGAATTTGAAAATGTAAGGAAACCGATGTAATTAAAATTGATTTACAAAATTGAATAATAATGCAGTTGAGTTACCATACTTTTGGTAGATTGTTCCTTTTTTGATTGTATGAAAATTCTCAATTGTTATTACAATTCATGTTTTACTTACAGACACTACTCCGGCCACCCCTGAGACTCTCCGTGTACTGCCGGATTTGCCACGTGATGGGGCCTACAGTCTACCTACCTACTCAGAGAGTTTGTTGTCAGCAGATGATGTTCTCCAAGGTTGTTAACATGTACATCATGGATATAATGCTCATTAAGTTTAGGACAAGACATTTATAGGGTTCTGTGTGGAGAGAGAATTATGACAGTTTTAAGCAAGTAATCTATCACAACATAATATGACATCATATCTACAATATCATAGTATCACAGGTTTTACTGGAATGGCACAATGACTTGATAGTCCACTCTCTCTATGTGTTCATGTTTCACATTGAGAGAGAAGATGGGTGGTATACATTTAATAGTAAAATGTCTTTACTCAGAATTTCAGATTCATGTGATTATGTTTTCATGTCTATGGCCACATTTCAAAATAAAATGATGTGTATCTTTATTGCAGTTGATGCAGTTGATACAGTTGATGCAGTTGATGCGTTGGAAAGATGATGGCCTCAAAGACTCTCAGTGGTATGTACTGTTATTCATGAAGTTTCAAAACATACATAGATGGAAATTGTATTTTGCTAAAGAACTTGTTTGTGTGTACTTGCTATACTTAGAAGATAAAGCTACTCTGTTTTCAATTTTGCGGTCCTTTATCGTTGATTTAAGACCGCTAAATTTAATTTAAAAACCAAACGCGTCATCGCTGGGTTGCATAATAGGGATAAGAGTTCCATCGATACACCCAAGCACCTTTGGAAATCTAGCAATGTTATAGAAAGATTCCTTGGTGGCTCGTTGGTCTGATGCTGCCTTTGGGAATGATTTTTGTTTCATATGTTTGACAATAGCATCGTTTGTGCGGGTAAATACCCGTGACACAGTGGACTGGGATACCCCATGCAAGTCCGCTAGCTCAGAGAAAAACGATCCCTTACCATAATATCTGAGGGCAATTAAAACCTGTGTTTCCGGCGACAATGCATGGGAACGCTCGGTTTGGAAAGCAAGATATGGTGATAGTGAGTTTACAAGCTCAAAAATGGCATGACGTGGTAGACGATATCGCCCTACTATGCTGTCATCATCCAGCGTATCGAGAACCTGAGTTCGGTCCCGAAATACCTTTGGTCGTGATGGTTTTCACTCTTCTTCAACTAAGCCGAACAGAAAATATGCAGCCATCTTAATTCTCAAGTTACGACAGAAATGTCTGATTTACGATAGGCGCTGGTCGTTCTTAAATTTTCTCTTAACTTTACGAAATGTTTTCACTGAGATAGCTTTGTGGATCGCTTAAGATTTCTGTCTTAAAGTTACGATAGGTTTTACGATGTTCTTAGCGCTACGAACGCTTTGTGGATCGGGCCCCTGTTCTTACCTGGTGTACACTCGAACTGCCAAGAGCCTCCCTTTCTTGAATATTTATACCCATTACTGGACCTAGTGAAAGAAAATAATATCAGAATGTGAGTGCATGACTAAGCGTCTAGCCGAGTGAATGAATACGAAAAACGCTTCAGAATGCGCGAGTGAGTGAGTGAGTGAGTGAGTGGAGCTTGATTCCTTAGACTTTTTAAGACTTCAGCCCTGCTGCTAACTGAAGCACATGCAGCACGTGTTGTGTCTCCTCGTGCGAATGGCTCACCTGTCCGTACAGCAGTAAACTGGGTACCTCGCAGGCTGTAATGGTACTGCTAGCCTTCTGACAGATTGTGTTCTACACTCCCCAGGAAGTTGAAAATGAAATTCAAATGCATATGGATTGGGATAATAATGTTTGCGTTTTAACATACACGTGTGTCTGCGTGCGTGTGGAGTGTTGTGTAATAGCGACACACATAATTATTTTATCATTGTGAATTATTTGACAGTGGGTAAGTAAGAATTTGAACCTCAATATATTCCAGTCAATTTTCGAATCAGGTGAGTTTGTGTGGGTGTAACAGTAAAAAATCCACCAGCCATGTATTGTAACCCTAGGTCATTGTTGAAGAGAAGAAAAAGATATTCCTGGTTGCAATCCATCAGTTTTATACCTGTCCGTCTGACAGTCGACTGTCATCTCTTCTCACCGTGAAGAGTTTTGTCATCCACAAGCTTTAACCCCTTTATGACACTTTTCACCTTCAGGTAATTAATTAACCTCATTTGTTTATGACCTCAAGACAGTTAGTATTAAACTACCAACACTGAATAGACATGCAAAATAGTAACAGTCGCTGATGTATATAATCATATTCATGTTGTTAATTAACATGTTTAATATATTCTCAGTGTCATGTTATAACGAGTAACCAAGGTGAAGGTCAAACGACCGTTGAGTCAACATTTTTTTACATATACATGTACCTCGTTGAGTGCATGATTCAAGATTAATGTAGATTTCAAGTTCATTTAGTGTTTTAAATTAAGGTCAACAAACTTTGTTAGGGCAAAAAACGACAAAATGTAGATCCATTTGGGGGACTAAATTCAGACGCGATGAATGGATGTGTGTCTGTGTAGACGTGGAGCTGGCGATTAAATCGTTTAGCCAGCCATAGTGACAATCTGTGTGGGGTAGTTTCTGGTTAACAGACTGAGTGTTATTTTAATAAATCATTTTGACAAGATGTGTTTTATTTGCTCTTTTAACCCCCTGGATGCCGAGTTGTTTTTTTACTGACACATGTACTGGTGTTGAACAGGGAACATTATGGGAGACGTGGTGTCGCACGGGACCGGATTTACCTTCAAGAATATAATTACGCAAAACAGAATAACCATATTATGTGGATGAAAATGAATGACAAGAATCATATATGTGTAGAGGATTCATCATGAGGTTTTTTTAATTTGGGAAATATCAACCGTGTCTTAGTTTCATCAGCAAATTCCGATTAACGGGACAAGATGATGAATAATGATGAATTCTATTTATCCTTTTCACGTGACACATTCCCTTTTTTGAGAAAAAGGCATCAGAATTGATGTAACATTCTTTTCGAAATCTTACGTATGCATTATGCATGGTGATTCATGCCGTGTTGTGTACCATGGTATACCCATCTGTAAGATACATTTTGGCATATTCAATCAGTGAGAAAAAGATAATCCGAGTATTATGTTTAAAACTGCTTGAGTCTTGCAGAATAACTGAAACTTTAACAGCGATGTCATTTGATTATATATTTGGTATATTTTTACTGATTTTATAACATTCGAATCAAAACGATCTCTCACAGAAAATAAGTTCCACTTCCACTTCTAAATTGCATACGTGTCTATATGTCATAAGTTTATGTAACGGATATAAGTTTTAGTAAAATGATATATTAAATTACAGTTCAGTGTATAGTCGTTAATGACCCATGACCCATATTCTAGACGTATGTTGGGGAATGTTGCTATATGTACACTGAAAACAATATACTGAACTGATATGACATATTTTGTAGATATTTGATAAAAAGACACTACCTGTGTTCAAAATGTTGTTAAAACGCACATTAAGCCACTTTCAGGGCTGCAATCATATACAAAGAAAATACTGTTTCGGTTCTTTGTGATTATGCGTCATTCTGTCACTCGGGACGAAAAATCTTTGGTGTTATGTCATTTATAGATGAGATTTCGATTAAACATTTGTCTATAACTTATGTTTTCGTTGTCGTATTTAACTACATGAATGTTCACGAAAATTTGCACATCCGTTCTCTGACTAATACCTCACTGACCCGAAAAAACTAAAGTCAATCTTTAAGTTAAAGCTAAAGTTACTTCGATGCATATACTTTGTATTACCTAATTCTCTACGACATCTCCCCATGCATATCATGGAAGAATTTAGCCGATGCTTTATGCAGCGAATAAATGAATGGATTTCTTGAATTAGGAGATATACTACATAGTGTAAAATCTGGATTTTGATCTGTTTCCAAAATTAATTGACACAAGTACAGGGCACAACGATCCCTTTTACACCTTTCGTAATTTTTGGTTTTGTATAACAATTCAGACCATTTGTTGGGTAAAACGTTTGCGAAATACAGGGAGGAAGCTGAACGTGAAATATATTTGATGTAAAAATGTAAACGGCAAACGTGATTGTGTATCCAGTACTGTTCATTATGGACTTCGTGTTGATGTATTTTCTAAAATGTGCCAAATACTTCAAGGGCTACTGGTCACGCTTCATAATCATCATTGGTGAATTGATAAACCACCGACGACCGTGATCAATAACAGCCGAGAATTTTTATTGAAAATATAATATTTCGATTTCAAAACACACACAAAGTAACATCATGATTATCAGGCAGAAAATGCTCAAATGTAGCTAAGTTTTCAAAGTCCGTTTGGAGGAATTGTGCTTTGACAAAAGTGGCTGATATCACAGAACAGACATTGTCCAGGTAATTCAGAACTGTGTTCTAGAATATTCGTTACTGATCATGAATGCAAGTTTTTCATCGTTGGTGTTCCAAGTAATAGGATAATTGATATGATTAACTGCAAATGAAGTAAGGATTTGGAATACCTGTAAATATTCCGTATCATATATTATTCTTATAAAAATTACAACACATTTACTTACCTAAAGGTAAATAATTCTGTGAGATATATCCATATATGGTACAACCTACGAGACAAGCTACAGTAAGCACTGTATATCCGTACACACTCGGAGACAGGGGAGACGTCATAGTAGTGTGCTAACACCTGCACGACTGCGGCCCCAGTAGCAGGGAGCTTTCACTCAGTGTTCCAGGGAGCTGTCCGTAGTCTCGCCTGCGGCTTTAGAATGAGTGAGTGCATGCTGTTTAGTGCCGCGTCAGCAACTTTGCAGGTATTCGAGATGAGGCTTCAGAATGACCGAGCAAATCGTTACTCGATAACGAACTACACTTTTCATTACATTAACAGGAAGAAAACACGTATGAAGGAATGTTTCTTGCAATACGTATTCAATAATTGAATAATTTGCTGAAACGTTTGCGATATTCAGGGACGGAGCTGAACGTGAATATATCTGATATAAAAAGCGTCTTGTAAACGGCAAACGTGATTTTGTAAACACTATCCATCCAGTACTGTTCGTTATGCGTTCGTGTTGACAAATAATTCAAGGCCTATTGGCCACGTTTCATAATGGTGCAATACGTATTCAATAATTCATCCATTTCTTGTGTTATCGATAAAGTATTGTGTCATCTTCCATCCAAAAAGAAATACTCTTCATGAATTAGGACCAGCAATCGGTTATAGTTGGGCTGTCAATCATTTTACGACAATATCGTATTGGCCTCAGTTGGTCTAATGAGGAATATCTGCTTATAATAATAAATGATAATGTGTCATATAGCTCAAAACTCCACATCAGCTCATAATCATCTTACAGATGGAGATGAACCTCCTAAGTGAACCTTTGCGATAAAGTGTTCACCATCAAGCATATGTTTGACTGTGTGGTTTTTTCAACTGCAAGGGATTCACATTCTGAAGCAATACATCTGAAAGATCTGTTTTCCCGTGTGAGCGGGCATCTCATTATGAACTTCTTGAGAGAAATTGGTCTCTATCATAAATTGTAACCATATATTTGTGTGACAAATTGGCTGTTTTTTAAGTTTGGCGTTACGACGTGTTCTATTTGTAGATGATATTGTAATGAAGAAATATGTATTTAAAGAAACTCTTTTAAACTTTGTAATTAACATGGACTTATGTATCTGCCCAGACTTGGTCTCGTCGCTATATGGCTGAAACAATAGCGATGCGAACACACTAACCACTAGGATACCATACTGTCATATTTCACGGAGACATATATCTATACTGTCTGTCTGTATGTCTGTCTGATTGTTTATATTATCTGTCGGGGCGGTGGGGTAGCCCAGTGGTTAAAGCGTTCGCTCGTCACGCCGAAGACCCGGGTTCGATTCCCCTACATGGGTAAAATTTGTGAAGCCCATTTCTGGTGTCCCCCGCCCTAATATTGCTGGAATATTGCTAAAAGCGGCGTAAAACTAGACTCACTCACTCACTCACTTATATTCTCTGTCCACTTACCTGGGTGTCTCTCTTGTCTGCAAGTGTTTATCGGCCATCAGATACCTGCATTACTTCGGGTCTTCCTCCCTCATTGAGCAGTCACGTCCAGATATAAATGGAATGGTATTTAAAGAAGGGTAAACTCACTCACTCAATGTTTCAAATTGGTCTAGTGGCTGTGTATGTCTACCTGCATGAGTGTCTCTTCCGTGATTCTCTGTATGCAGGTGTGTTCGTGTATTTCTTTGATTATGTGGATTTTCCAAAAAGTTGATCTAGTGCTTTTTAAAAATTTGACAAAAGAGTAAATATTGATAATTTTTTTCAGAAAATATTTCTCGCTAATGATATAACGCTATCACGTCCGCGCTATAACGGGGAATTAGTGACAACTGATATTCGTTGACAACGGAGAATGAACAAGTTCAGAAGTATTTCCGTGTTAGAAGGGTTTACAGTTTAATCAGAATACATTTTCTGAATTTGGGACTTTTGGAAACAGTATATAGAATTTATAACCGTATTGATTTAGTTAGCTTGTGCTTGCAGATCATCAGCAACCAGTAAAGGCACTTTATACCGGTATGTACCGGGCATGTATTGATATTGTTTGTTGTTTGTTGTTTAACGCCGCACTCAGCAATATTCCAGCAATATGGCGCATGCCTGTAAGTAAACCAGTGATTAACAGCATGAGCATCGATCTCCACAATTGGGATACGATGACAGGTATCAACCATGTCAGCGAGCCTAACCACCCGACCGCGTTTGACGCCCTGAATTCTCTCATTTAATATATAGGTATTTCAGTCAATGTCCTATTTTTACTTCTCAAATGGAATATAACAACGCAACATTTAACCGACATTGTTGAGCTGAATTCACCGAGTCATTTCTTAATCTATTTGAAGCAGTTTTCATGCCTTAAAATAGAATTGCCTATATTTGGTTAGATAACATACAACATGCTAAATGTTTGACCCAGCACGTGGACAAGTGCACTCTCTTTTCACTTTGCCAACATGGCTGCTCTCTAATCTCGAAGCTTTTGGGTCCCGAGTGTCACCAATTCTATCGCTGAGGAAAATTTAAAAAAAATAGAAATAGAATACAATAAAAAATAAATAAATAAATAAATAAAATAAATAAAAAATAAATAAATAAATAAAATAAATAAAAAATAATGTGATGTTCCACAAGACATTCCAGATGCATCTCATACGGCACCGAAGACAAATGTCGGGTAGTGCTAATATCGACGTTTCCTCCCATCGTGAACTTTTAGCTGTTTTTATTTGTATCCATCAGTGATGGAGAATGGAAGCAGGGTTAGAACAGAAATATGAAACTCTGGACAATGGAGAATGGCTCTGTGCTAATTTTATGTGTCGACTGCCCAGGTGAAACAAAAAGTTAACCCAGCAAGCTAGATGAAATAGGATTCAATGTGAAACCAACAGATAAAAAAACCCCTCCCTGTCATTATGTAATTAAGAAATAAACTATCTAGGTTCATTAGTTTATCAGACTGAGTACAAATTGCTACAACATAATTACAATGGCAGTACAAAGCAGAGAGACAGTGCAAAATTCAGTGGCAGAATAAAATGCAATTGCATTGACGACAACAAAATATTAAGTGACCAAGTCACAATTCACCAAGCAGAAACAGTGGTCATACCCGTGGCTGGGTATCCAAGGTGAGAAGTGATCTACAACAGCGTTATTCATGTAATGCGAAATATTAGATACATGCTCTTGTCCTCTTACACTGTGTCAATATCTTTTAAAATGTTTCATATCATGCATGGGACGGTGGGGTAGCCTAGTGGTTAAAGCGTTCGCTCGTCACGCCGAAGACCCGGATTTGATTCCCCACATGGGTACAATGTGTGAAGCCAATTTCTGGTGTCCCCCGCCGTGATATATGACTGAAAGCGGCATAAAACTAAACTCACTCACCTATATCATGCTAGACTAGACTACTGATGTTAAAGAAGAATCTAGATAACACTTGACTCCAAAAACATCTAAATATAGTAACGTATACACAACTGATTAACCCCCACCCCCAAAAATAAATTTAGTACGTTCCTGATAACTCAACTTATTATGTCTAAAACACAATATTCAAATCATATAATGAACAGATACAATTTAATTCAATTACAACATTGTTCCAACAAGATTCCAACACTTTTAGGGCACTAAGAACATTGGTCTGGAAAAATTCAGCTTTAATTCAATGTCTGACCAGACAATCTATTCACCTTGACACGGGTTCCAGAATTAGAACAGATTACAAAGATAAATCGCTCGGAATGCTGTTGGCAAAGCTTATTCCACCCTTTGCATAGAACAGGTAAGGACGAACCTCAGCGATGTGGAATTTCAAGACTTTACCATGTGTAATACTGGGCCAGTTTTATCTGTTTGATGCTATTATTTAACATTTACATATATATATATGCTTCTCTCTGCAATGATTTATAGTATGATGTGGTAAAGTTGGTATTAGACTCCGCAATATATATTATCACAAGTACTGTGTTTAGCTCATTTCAGAAATTTGAAAAATATTTAGCAATTGACGTGATGGTTATCAAATGTGTTTATATGAACGAACACAGCAATATGCATATTTTGGACTTGTAAACGTGCCCCAAATGGTCGCTTGATATGGCCAAAGTTGCTAGGTAACTTGATTAATACATGCAGTAGAGACATATACTGACGGGACAAAAAAAGGTATACATCCACGTTAACGATGGACATGAATGACTTACTGAGTGAGTGAGTAAGAGAGTGAGTGAGTAAGAGAGTGAGTGAGTGGGAGGGTGAGTGAGTGGAAGGGTTATGTACGGTGAGCGGATGAGTGCGTGAGTGAGTGGTGCTTTTAATGTACAGCCAGTTGAGAATGTAATATCCAACTCTTTAAATAAATTGACGAAGTTTCCGTCACCTTTGGAAATGCGATCTATATTTACTGTTATGGAAACACGTTGCACTGTCTATTGACTTTATTTCTCCTCTTCTGATCATCCCTCAAAGCTCCCTACAGTAATACCGTAGCTCTAGAACACAACGTAAACTGTGAATAATTTCATGTGCATAAATACTTGTCAGTTTGTTTATATATAAAAATGGTTTGTCTCTTCAATGTTTTTTTTATTCGATCCAACCAGTTTCCCGAGCATTGGGGACGAGATACGTACTGAAAATGTGATTACAGGAATACTGAAATCATAGTCTGGTATTAGAGGTAGTCATCAAGCTGCTTTCTCATTCACTGTGTAAGGCCATATGTAACAAAACACCGAGAGGAACTGCAGTGAGTGTCGCGCGTTGTTGTGTGGTGCTGTGTGGTGCTAGATTCCATTGCTCTCCATATCTAATGCATTCATCGCGGATGCTGCCTTGTTCCGTCAGCTGCAATGATGTTGTTGCTGTTGGCTGCGGTGCTGGGGTTGACGTCGGCCGCCACGGACATCAAGATCACCGGTCACTGGGATGGAGGCTTCAATGGTCAATTCTGCATCACACTGACTCAGGAGTTGCACGGCTGGAAGGCTCACCTGGTGTTTGACCATGAGGTCAAGACACTACAAGTAGGTATCAAGATGGCCTCTAGTACTTAGCTCACACAAATATCTAATTTGAATGAGTGAGTGAGTGAGTTGGGCTTAGCGCCGTAGATCTTCCAGGGTCGGCTTTATGTGGGAGCCAGACCTGAATTGATCAAGTTCTTTAAGAAACGGCAGGGTATAGTGCTGACAAACTGCAGAGCTACTGATGACGTTTTGGGTCATTGAGTTATGTACTCACTTGTGTTCATCTCAGTTGGGTATCCTAATTTTCCTTTGAGTAACCAAATAAATTGTACTCACCTCACTCAAACACAATTGGGTATTTGCCATTTTCAATTAATTTTAAAAATATAATGAAGTTTAAATGTCAGTGTTTGTTATTTATATTTTGTGTGTATTATGAGAAACTGCAAGTTGTCAAGTTCATTTCCTGAAACAGAACCCTCTCAGTATACCTCAGTTATTTTATCTACCCCCGGTACGCAAGCTAAGATTTGTCATTTGTGTGTGTACGCATGTACGATCACATTTACAGAGTACATGTATTTACAAAAATTCAAGCGTACTTGTACGCAATAGACTTAATAGGAAATGAGTTTTCACATAAATATTTGCGTAATGTACGCAGATACGCAGCTTATCTGTACCTCAGCAAACTATAATCATATATAGAATCGTCAGTTCAACCCATGATGACAGGATCCAGACGCATATAAGGTAGACAACTCAAGGTGAACAGAGGTCAGTGGCGGATACTATTTTCCCTAAAACAGAACAACCTTATTCACTTTGCTTGTCGTAAGAGGAGACTTACGGGATCGGGTGGTCAGGCTCACTTACTTGGTTGACACATGTCATCGTATCCCAATTGCGTAGATCGATGCTCATGCTGTTGATCACTGGATTATTTGGTCCAGACTCGAATATTTACAGACCGCCGCCACATAGCTGGAATATTGTTGAATGGGGCGTTAAAAACTAAATAACCAACCAGCCAACCAACCAGCCAACAACCAACCAACCTTATTGACCTAATCACGGACTATTCGGTGACTTACTAACCTGCATCCATAACGATATTCGCCTAATACGACAGTCTGTCTCACAGTCCCTCAACCATATTCTTTTCCTTTCCCCAACCCATTCTGTAAATGAAGTGATTCTAGATTTTCCCAAGATTCTGAATCATCTATCTCAATGGGTTCCTTTTCAAGTTAATTGGAGCTCTTTCTACCAAACTTATATATTTCCAAAGACGAAGCGTTAGTCTGCAAATACAACATCGTGTGCCTTCTTTGGAATGAATACTTCTTTTGCATATCTATTGCATTCGTTTTGTCCGGGTAATGCTTCCTGATTATTTTTTTACCAAAGTGAAATTTACAAGTACCGGTTTGATGAACTATGCACAGTTTTACGGAACCTGTCCACTATTTTGTCCATCAGCCTGGTATTACCTGAAGAAGTGTTACGTTTGACAGTTGAGCCAAGCGGATGTGGTGGAGACGCGCGACAACAACAAAGAATTCGTCCTCAAGAACAAGGACTGGAATAAAGATGAACAGGTGGGACAACAGCTGTGTGTCAACTTCATGGGCACGACTGACGGCAACGTCGACATGAGAGGCACCGTGTTCATTGAGAACGTCCAGGGAGGTGCCACGTTACAGCCGACACAGTCGCCGGTCCAGACACAGGCGCCGACACAGTCGCCGGTCCAGACACAGCAACCTGTGACCACGCCCGCCAGCCAGACACAGGCACCCGGTATGGCAGCCATTGTTTACTTAGCCATTAGACTCTAATAGGGATTTTGTCCCTCACCTGCTTCAAAGCACGCAATTATTTTGCTGTGAACGATTTCAGAACACCCGACATGTTCTGCGTGCAAAGATCTTTTTCGATCTTGTATATTAAAAACAAAATTAATAGGGGGAAATCCATTTTAAAAAATCGTTTCAACAAGAATACCAGCGAAAGTTCCTGGCGCACTTTGAAATCAATTTTATCATGTAATGGATAACAAAGTACCCGTCATATTGGAAATATATACTGAGGGAAACAAATAAGGGAACACATGAAAGCAGAAGTGTTCCTTTATTCTTTTCCAGGTTTCTTCACAAGCTTTGTAGCACAAGAATAAGTAGAGGAACACTGTGATGAAGTGGTGTTGCCTTATTTTTTCCCCTCAGTATAACTGGCAGGATTTGAAGGGCCGCAGTGATTCTCGAGATGCCATTCTTCAGCCGAACATTTCCAAATTACCCTCTGTTGGACCAGGATGCGGAATTATTGATTTGTACCAGACGAAAATCTTTTTATTGTTTTAAGTGCAGTCTGGAAGTAGCTCAGCCAAGTACGACTACCAGAAAGCACTTGGTCTCTCCATTCTCTTTTACGACGCGCAGCGATCAGGCAAACTTCCGGCTAACAACCCCATCCCTTGGCGAGGTGACTCCGCGCTCGGTGACAAGGGAGATAATGGCGAGGATCTCACGGGCGGCTGGTATGATGGTAAGAAATCGTAGGATGTGGCTAGAATTCGTCTTCAAAGTGCAATCTTGATGACATTTTAAATAAAATGGGATACGGATGGCCCGGAGATCACACCTCTGTATAATATAATGACAAACGTAGGTGTATATGGCAGCAACCTGCTTTACAATCGAATCTTGCCCGGACAAGCTAGTGATCGATAGTATGAACATCAATTCACACCACCACCCCTATGACCACCCTTAGGGAAACCCCTGCTAATCCAGAATCCCAAAACGTTTGAAGGAAGCAGTGATGGTTTTCTTCTTATAGTAAGCAGCTTGGGTTGTTGTCAGCGGGTACCTGTAAAGTAGTGAACACTGTGAGATATATCAGCTGCATTCATTGGCGGGAGGACGAGGAATGAAAAACTAGGAATTAAGATTTAACATCACGTTGGGGAATACTAAGAAAAGGTTCCACATACTGTAATCATGCGGAGGCGGTGGGGAAGCCTAGTAGTTAAAGCGTTCGCTAGTCACGCCGAAGATCCGGGTTCGATTCCCCACATGGTTGCAATCGAACCAGGGTCTTTGTCACCACATCATTAAGAAACCTCTGTCCAACAGCCATATCGAAATGCTAGTGCAAAAGTGAGGCTGGCATTACGCCTCCTGTAGCGTTACTCCAGCAATATCACGGCGGCGAACCAGAAATGAACTTCACACACTTCCCCCATGTAGGACCCGTGAAGATCCGGGGTAGAATAGGTCTTCAGCAACCCATGCTTGCCACAAAAGGCGACTATGCTTGTCGTAAGAGGCGACTAACGGGATCGGGGGGTCAGGCTCGCGGACTTGGTTGACACATATCATCGGTTCCCAATTGCGCAGATCGATGCTCATGCTGTTGATCACTGGATTGTCTGGTCCAGACTCGATTATTTACAGACCGCCACCATATAGCTGGAATATTGTTGAGTGCGGCGTAAAACTAAACTCACTCACTCACCCATGTAGTGGCCCGAACCCGAGCCAACAGCGTCATGAGGTCCACTGGGTGAAGCGGTGGGGTAGCCTAGTGGTTAAAGCGTCCGCTTGTCACGCCGATGACCCCACCTGGGTACAATGTGTGAAGCCCATTTCTGGTATCCCCTGCTGTGACATTGCTGGAATATTGCTAAAAGCAGCGTAAAACCCAACTCACTCACTCACTCCACTGGGTTTCCCCACATAATGATTCTGATGCTGATTCAAATTTTCAGCCGGCGACCACGTCAAGTTTAACCTCCCCATGTCCTCCTCCGCGTTCATCCTGTCCTGGGGGCTGTCTGTGTGGAAGGATGGCTATACGGCCGCGGGTCAGCTTGACCAGATGTACGACATGTTGAGGTGGCCACTGGACTACCTCCTCCGGTGCTGGATCCCGAGCAAGGAGGAATACTACGTACAGGTCAGACATGCCAGGGCGACTCATGTCCTACACCGTCTCTAGAAACCGTCTCACGTTAGATAGTCCCTGCTGGTGTATAAAATTAGGGCATATGGGATTCATTGTATTTGATGGTGGTCAGGTTTAGCACCCGGTGTACGTTGGAATCTTAACTTAAAACATTTAATAATTAAGATGAATAGTTGGATTGTATAATTGTCCTTCGTGATCACTTTATCAACAACAGATCAACCGTCAAGACATACCCTCGGGTTGATGTCAATTTCATGACATAATTGAATTACCTATTATTATCATTATCACTATATTATATCATGGAATAGAGATTAAATACCCCAAATAACAACAAACCAAACCAAGCGAACAAATATATCCAGAACACCCCAAAAAAAATATAAAAAAATATATATATATAAAAAATATATAATTTTTTTTTTTTTTTTTTAAATAAAACAATAAATAAAAACCAACCAAACAACAACAACAAGACAAAACAAAAAAAACAACCAAAAAGACACCACCAAAACAAACCCTGAAAACAAACAAAAACAAACAAAAACAAAACCTCCAAAACCAACAACAACCCCTTTAATCGAAGATGAAGCGTCGTGTTGTTTTTATGCGTATTGGGGTAAAGAGGGAAATATCACAACATAGTTTTTTATTGTGTTTATGCCTAGTATATAATTGATGTGTTGGTGTAATGAACCCATCACCAGGTTATACTCGTTAAGACTGTCGTGTCAACCTTCATCGAACAGTCATACGTTTGGTTATCAATATAACTATTGATATAAGCAATCCATGGTGCCTGACTATAGGTGGGAGATGGCGGCCCTGACCATGCATACTGGGGAAGACCGGAAGACATGACCATGGCTCGGCCAGCTTTCAAGGTCACGGCCAGTAAACCCGGAAGTGACGTATCAGCTGAGACGGCCGCTGCCTTTGCTATGGGATCTGTCGTATTCAAAGACAAGGGTAACATTTTAGTAGTAGCCTTTATAAAATGTACAATTTGGATGCTCACAGAGCGTATTGCTGCAAGAAGTAAGCCCGTAAGCTCGACACTTATGCCAAAACAGGGCAATAAATAAATTTTGTTTCGAAAAGAATTTGGAGACACACGAACGTAACCCATAAGTTTGAGGGTCAAAATGTATATTAGCACTTAATCTAATTAAAACGTGTGTTTTTGAAAGAAAGTAAATCTATGAGAATAGTCAAATATTTACTTATTTTTCATTCGCAGATGTGAACGCGACTGTTGAGTTTTGTTTGTAACATTTTGAAATGTTTTGTCCGCGGATCCGTACACCAGAAACAAAATATACATGTGTGTTACGATTTGCTAGTCTGTTCAAAATCTTTCTCTAAACTTTGAAAATATTTGTGTTCCTTGTGACTTTTCGAAACTGGAGAGAGAATTGTATTTACTGTAAGTTACAAATGTATTGAAGTAAACTTGATTGTAGCGGACTACCTGTCCGTTTTGGGGACGAGCCGCCTGCGCATGAAGCGTAGTTGTTGATGCTGTAGCTGTATTTGACGTCCATGTGTCCGTTGATACTATGTTATTACCTGCTAGACCCTGCATTCTCCGCCAAGCTGCTAAGTGCGGCCAAAACCCTGTACGACTTCGCCAAGAAGTACCAAGGTATCTACAGCAACAGTGTCAACCAGGCCGCCGGATATTACAGGTAAATCTGGAATTCGGATATTACAGGTAAAGTCGGGATTCGGATATTACAGGTAAATCTGGGATTCGGATATTACAGGTAAAGTTGGGATTCGGATATTACAGGTAAATCTGGGACTCGGATATTACAGGTAAATCTGGGACTCGGATATTACAGGTAAATCTGGGACTCGGATATTACAGGTAAATCTGGGATTCGGATATTACAGGTAAATCTGGGACTCGGATATTACAGATAAATCTGGGACTCGGATATTACAGGTAAATCTGGGATTCGGATATTACAGGTAAATCTGGGATTCGGATATTACAGGTAAAGTTGGGATTCGGATATTACAGGTAAATCTGGGATTCGGATATTACAGGTAAAGTTGGGATTCGGATATTACAGGTAAAGTTGGGATTCGGATATTACAGGTAAATCTGGGACTCGGATATTACAGGTAAATCTTGGATTCGGATATTACAGGTACAGCTAGGATTCTGAACCTAGGATTCTGTAGGTACGGATTAATAGGGATTTTAAGCAAGGATTCCAAAGGTATGGCGTTTTTAGCGGCATGCTTATGACAAATGCGACAAAAATGGAAACAAAATTAATCATACGATTCTATACGTCCGGATGGGGCTGCTTTTATTAATGTAATATAACTTATTTGAGAAATTGCTTTCATACTGAACCTGTCAAACCAGTGATTGTCAGCAGGTACACTGCCACTCGGCTAAACTCATTCCACATAGGTAGAACTGTCGATTGTGCCCTAGAGTGAGTGAGTGAGTGAGTGAGTTTAGTTTTACGCCACACTCAGCAATATTCCAGCTATATGGCGGCGGTCTGTAAATAATCGAGTCTGGACCAGACAATCCATGGCCAGTGATCAACAGCATGAGCATCGACCTGCGCAATTGGGAACCGATGACATATGTCAACCAAGCCAGCGAACCTGACCACCCGATCCCGTTAGTCTCCTTTTACGACAAGCATGGGTTACTGAAGGTTCATTGTGCCCTAGAGTGAGTGAGTGAGTTTATGCCAGTGATAAACTGGGAATTGGATAAATAAGGGTAACAGGTAACCAGTTGACCCAGTCGAATTTGACGCCGTAATTAGTTGTACAGAGTTGCTTCCCTTAACGTGCCAGAATCCTATGTTCGCCCTGCTATTTTCTATTTATGTCAGTAATGTACATATGTTCGTGGTTTTCACCAAGGTGGTAACCCTCTAGAACTCGTGTTACATCATAGTTGGTTACCCGTCTGTATTTAATGAACCCAGGTCGAGTCACTTCAAGGACGAGCTGTGTACCGGAAGTGCCGTTCTGTACAAGGTGACCGGGGAGGCAAAGTATCTAGCCGATGCCAAGAGCTTTAACACTGACGAAGTCCCATGGGGGTATTCCTGGGATGACACGAAAATTGCATGTCAGGTCAGTACTGTGACGCGTAGTGAGCGTCATAATATTTGTTTAACTTAACGTCCGAAAAGCTCCATTGCTTGTCGTTATCAACCACTATTGTTTCGAACCCAAAGTGTTGAAAGGCCACCGTAATGCTGCAGGAAAATAGCACTGTACAACCAGCATCAGCCTGGACTAGCAAATATACATAAGCACGCACGCACGCACGCACGCACGCACTGAATGCTAGCATCGTCCCGTCATCCAATTCTGCATACCAGTACGGGGGTACTGACTATGTGCTGATTATTGAAGGGTAACTGTTTCTCTCGTGCGACAGCTGCTGTTATTCGAGATCACCAAGGACGCCAGCTACAGCAAGCAGGTGGAGGCCTTCATGACGAGCTGGATGCAAGGCGGGTCAGTTCCCTACAGCACGTGTGGCTTGGCCATCAGAGACAAGTGGGGCACGCTCAGATACGCAAGTAGGTTGTGGAAGGTGCTCTCGGTGATCTCAGTCAACAGTCGACTGAGAGAAATCAATGCTTTGAAATTTTGTTCTGTTCCACGTGCTGGGGTAGTGAGGTAGCCTGGCGGTTAAAGTGTGTTAGCTCAGCACACTGATTTCTTGATTCACACTGTCACAGTATGGCTTGAAGCGGCATGAAGAAACATGAATCACTCTCTGAAACATGCAACAGGTGGTGGCCTTTAGGTGGTGGCGCATTTCCTTGTGAAAAGAAATCTTGATCGACACTGTTTTATATCGTCCAAATACGATCGTATTATTGATGTTAATTCCCGACAATAAAGAACATCAATTTGATGCCATGTGTTTTACTCACTCACCGACTCACTAACTCACCTTCGACTCATTCAGTCTCTCACTCACTCCCCAACTCACTCACTCACTCACTTCGACAGCCAACTCCGCGTTCATCGCCCTGATGGCGGCCCACGACGGCATCAACTCCAAAGTGTACCAGCAGTGGGCGGAAGGCGAAATCGACTACGTCTTTGGGGACAACCCTTCACACATGAGCTACCAGATCGGCTTTGGCAGCAACTACCCCAAAAGGCCGCATCACAGAGGCAGGTAAGACACATCGTCCACGGGGACAACCCCAAAAGGCCGCATCACAGAGGCAGGTAAAACACATCGTCCACGGGGACAACCCCAAAAGGCCGCATCACAGAGGCAGGTGTCTGTGTCGTCGTTGTAGTTGCAGCAGGTGATGTTGTAAACCACATGAGGTTAGGACATTGGCTGCAGATCAGCTGATAAGTAGTTAAATAATCATGAAATACAGTAATATAAGGGTGGTAGTTAAATAATTCTTCATTTAACGCCACTCATATCACCGTTGTACACGTCTGTTATAGACTAGATACAGATCATACACAATTGTCAGAGAGGTGGTTGGGTAGCCAAGTGGTTGAAGCGTTCACTCGTCACGCCGAAGACCCGGGTTCGATTCCTAACATGGAAGCAGTAAGAGAAGCCAATGTATGGTGTTTTCTGTCTCACTCACATTTGTCACCGAAGGCGGTGCACCGAGGGAGTGCCAAAACGAAGCCACGGCCTAATGCGCTGTAGTTGTCATCAGTAATTATATACCGCAGATTCTCCTGTTTTGCTGAGTTTGAGAATATCGCTGCGCTTCAAGTAATGTTGTCCCACACAGACTATCAACGGCTCAGTTTTAAACTCATGTCCCTACTAATGTCTTTAGTGAAGATTTTACAGACGCTTCCAGGGATCAAAATTCTCTGTTAAAGATAATGAAGAAATATATTTTATAGTGTTTTGTACAAAAACTCTTTAAGGATTAAGATTAGGCGTGTTGTTTATTACTTATTTACCGGACTAACCACCCGTATTATTTGTGAATGAAGAAAATTATTTAAATTCTGGTTTAAATGAGTTTGTCGTCAACGACGATGAATACACAATGCCATTTAGAAAGTAATCCAATCTTACATATGTTATACTAAGGTTTACATACTCTGTAAAGTGCAGATAGTAGTACTTCTGGGGGTTCAGTGTCAACCGGGTCGAGTCGGGTTGAACCGCTGGTAGCAGCGAGCCTGATAAACGATGGGAAGTTATATATCACAAATTGTTTCACTTTCTGGGTGAGTAAGTGAGTTTAGTTTTACGCCGCTTTTAGGACTATTCCAGCTATATCACGGCGGGGGACACCAGAAATGGGCTTCATATATTGTACCCATGTGGGGAATCGAATCCGGGTCTCCGGCGTGTCGAGCGAATACTTTTCTACTAGGCCACCCCACCGCACTTCACTTTACTAGGCCACCCCACCGCCCTTCACTTTACTAGGCCACCCCACCGCCCTTCACTTTACTAGGCCACCCCACCGCCCTTCACTTTACTAGGCCACCCACCGCCCTTCCGTAGGCCTTCACCTTCACTTTACTAGGGGCCACCCACCGCCCTTCACTTTACTAGGCCACCCCACCGCCCTTCACTTTACTAGGCCACCCCACCGCCCTTCACATTACTAGGCCACTCCACCGCCCTTCACTTTACTAGGCCACTCCCCACCCTTCACTTTACTAGGCCATCCCACCGCCCTTTTCTGTTTACTAGGCCACCCCACCGCCCTTCACTTTACTAGGCCACCCCACCGCCCTTCACTTTCTGAGAATGCCATAGATCAAGAAATGTAATATCTGATATATTTCACATTTTAGTAAATTTCACAAAAAACCCACCCCAAGTAATCGTACATGCAAATGTGACAAGTCTTCATGCATATTATTAACCCGTGAAGGTCCGGGTTAGAATGAACCTTCAGTAACCCATGCTTGTCGTAAGAGGCGACTAACGGGATCGGGTGGTCAGGCTCGCTGGCTTGGTTGACATATGTCATCGGTTCCCAATTGCGCAGATCGATTATCATGCTGTTGATCACTGGACTGTCTGATCCAGACTCGATTATATACAGACCGCCGCCATATAGCTGGAATATTGCTGAGTGTGGCGTAAAACTAAACTCACTCCCTCATGCATATTAACCGTTACTGCTGTCTCGTGTGTCAGCTCCTGCCCCGACCGTCCGGCCAAGTGCGACTGGCAAGCCTTCAGCAACCCTGGCCCTAACCCTCAGCTCCTCAAGGGGGCTATGGTAGGGGGTCCTGATGCCTCCGACACATACGCCGACAAACGGGACGACTACGTCAAGAACGAGGTTGCCTGCGACTACAACGCCGGCTTCCAGTCCAGTCTTGCAGGTGGGTAGCAGGTTAGGGGAGAGACAATTTGTTTTGAATTTCGAGGTTGGTACTGAGTGTTACATACATTCTTCATCCAACCTCTGTCTCGTTTCCATCCCGTAAGTAGTGTAAAGTTTCACTAATTGCAATACCTGCACGAATATTAACGAAATGAAAACAGCAGTAATTGATTCGAATCAAATCCAAAGAAAACCTTTCGAAGCGCCCACAAATATAATGACAGTAAATTTCTCTTGCTCACTTAACCTTACACAATGCATACTCGAAGCGCAACAAAGAGTTCATACGGAAAGTTCATCGACACAGGCAAATTGACATAAATATGTTTTGAAACGAGACTTTAAGATCTGAAGATGCAGTTGCATTCATTTGCTGCTGTTAACATCGGCAATATCGAGAAGCTGACGAGATTCTGATCTAAGTCTGATAATTGTGGACACTAATCTGCATCGTCCAGGAAGCCAGAGTAGCTTCATAAGGTCTGGACTGATATAATCATGGAGGAGAGACATTCCTGGCTGTGGAATTCTGGGCGCGTGGACTGTTATCGATGTTGGAACGAGCACCAGCACGGCGACTACTACTCGTCAAGTCACAACATTGAGTACACAACAGTCTCGTTTCCTGTTGACTGGGTTCCGTCCTATTGCACAACTTCGTACAATTACCAGTCCAGAATTTTTAAACCAATTCGTTTAACTGAATGCATAAATATTAATCAGTATTATTTGATACATCTAAGCACTTGTATATTGCAACACTATGCTTCTTCTAATCCTTGCAAACACGTCGTGCAGCGTGCTCTGTCGTACAACGAGCTCTGACAAACGGAAACCTGGAAATCGTGGAAATCTCAAAACGAGGTTCTGCCGCTAGAAAAGTTAACTGATATTAATTCAATCACATTGTGCGTTACAAAACTGCTCTGAATAAGCGCAAAAAACACATACCAGGTGTAACCAGTGAGCCAGATGCATTGTGAATCATTTTACGACCTCATCAAACTGGGGCAGTCTGTGACGTCTTAGTTGAGGTCTTGCTGCCTACACCTCGCCATAAAATATAGAAATACGATGTTATTAAAGCATAAAATTAAAATTCATTTGTAAATACCATTTTCTTATGAAACAAGGAATTGGAATTCAGTGTAACCATAGTTGTTTGTGATGTCTATTTTCTCTTTCATACGAGAAAATTCGGATCGGCTGAAAAGTAGGTCATTGTCTGAACAGGTTAATGAGACTCATATTTCGGTTTGTTTGTGTAGTCTGTTCATAACATACCCGTGAAAATCCGGGTTAGATTTGATCTTCAGTAACCAATGCTTGTCGTAAGAGGGATCGGGTGGTCAGACTCGCTGACTTGGTTGGCACATGTCATCGGTTCCCAATTGCATAGATCGATGTTCATGCTGTTTTTATCACTGATTGCTACTATATACATGCCCCACCCACCACCCCCCACCCTACAACACACACACACACACACACACACACACACACACACACACACACACACACACACAATTAAAGTATACTTACCACCAAATGTTTAGACTTACTAGTGTAAATATAGCCACTTACTTCAGCCAACTGTTCTAAACTAGATTTTGCTAAATATTCCATACTGTTTAAAGGTACTGTTTACACATGAACTGATGTATTATAAAACTAATTCGTAATGTTGAAAAAATCATTGTCATGAGTTCAATAAATGTTAAAAATAAATGAAAATTGGCGATTTCTTAACAAAACTTTACACTAGAACGCAGGTGTTCACATGCACGATATTTGCACATGACCCTCGTACAATTCATCTGCCTAAGGTTTGAATTTGGATTCCCCAAGTTAGTGGAGACATCAGTCTTCTATGTAACCACTCACACGCGCGTACGCGCGCACACACACACACACACACACATATATATATATATATATATATATATATATATCTATAGTGAGTGTATAACATATAGTGAGTGTATTAAGTGAGTCTGAACTTTTGATGGGAAGTATATAAAAAACAAACAGATGAGAATAGTAAGCGGCAAAATTCGTTATATCCGATAGTTCGTTATAAGCGTATTGGCTGTAACCCTAGTGTACTGTATTGTAATACTCAATAACGGGTTTTGTTCTGTTCCAGCACTGGTGTCTCTAGATGCGAGCAAGAAGCTGCCCCCCGCCCCTGCAGCCAAGTGTTAGATACACAACTCGTACTGTAGACAAGAAAGAATAAAACACATTCTTTTGGTCCTTGGTTTTGGATTTTGTATCAGCACAACATTTGTGGCTTGAAAACATTTTCTGCTTAATAATAGCTATATTTCATGATTGACTATACATTGTATTGCATTACGGACGACCGTTCGATCGAATTGTCATTTGTTTGAAGAAAAAATTAACATTCTCAGTAACATTTATTGATTGATAGTAATGCAAGCGTTTGAACTATTCGATTTGCGTTTAACTGATTACAACTACTACTACTACTGCTACTACTACTACTACGTACACGTATAATACGCTAAACTACATTCACTACGTAACCCGTGAAGATCCGGGTTAGAAATGATCTTCAGTAACCCATGCTTGTCGTAAGAGGCGACTAACGGGATCGGGTGGTCAGGCTCGCTGGCTTGGTTGACACATGTCATCGTATCCCAGTTGCGTAGATCGATGTTCGTGCTGTTGATCCCTGGATTATTGACAGACCGCCGCCATATAGCTGGAACATTGCTGAGTGCGGCGTAAAACTAAACTCACTCACTCCCCCATTCACAAGGCGAATGCTCATACTAAATTTCAACACTTTCCTAATATCGCCCACGTTCTGTACAAATTGCAGTACCTATAACTGACGTGTATGTATTTTCCTTTGGGGGATGAGGGAGCAATTATTCATGGAATTACTCATGGAATTACTCACTTCAACATGGACACAGTGGTGACAATAACTGAACACATTATTCATAGTCAAGGCGTGACAATGTGGAGTATTGATGAAATAATAATCGTGTTTTTAGAGCGGGACACGTTTCCACGGGGACGATTCTTGTTGTTCATTAGATACAGTAGTTGGCCATAAGCGAGTCATCATTAGTGAAACTCCTGTAGACTTGCATGTTAATTAACTCTTGCAAGAACAATTTTCATAAATTTAGTTTTGGTCGAATTGCTTTCAATACTGATCTACCAGCTGGGAAATCATCTCGGCTACATACACATAATTTCCATTCAATTTTCCGATGATTATTAAGAAAACTGCAACTATTTGAACAACATATATCAGACATACCAATCAGGTTTAACATGGCTGTCTATGGGACAGATTAACATAAAGTTGTACTTATGGTGCTTAATCAGGTGTCATTCGATAACAAATCAACGGAAAGATCAAAAGAAAATTGTGTACACGTAGCTGAAGATGATTTCCAAGATGTTTGCAAAATATCAAAATATAATGACTTCTACTCAATGTATGAAAATTATTCTTGCAACAGTTAATTAACATGTAAGTCTATGGAAATTTCACTAATGATGACTCACTTATGGCCAACTGCTGTACATTTCTTGTCCGACCTGTCAAACTGCCCGTGCATACATCGGATGTGGAAGTAGGGTTTTGTTCCACGAGTTCCACGAGTTTCTGCAAGACCTATGTCGAATGGAGACACACGCTTATCGTGTTTAGTGTTTTTTTACATTCGTGATTCAGAGGCCAATGAGATTTGTTCGGTAAAGGACGACAGGGAGAACTTCTGAAAGTAAGTACATGTATATTTTGTACTGTTCAATCCATTCATGGTCAACAAAACTAGCCTTTTGTGATATTCATTTGGTTGTTGGTTTGTTGTTTAACGCCGCACTCAGCAATATTCCAGCTATATGGCGGTGGTCTGTAAATAATCGACTCTGGATCAACAGTATGAACATCAATCTACGCAGTTGGGATACGATGACATGTGTCAACCAAGTCAGCGAGCCTGACAACCCGATCTTACGACAAGCATTACTGAAGACGAATTCTAACCCAGATCTTCGATATATTTATATGAAAGAGTTTCTGCAAGACCCGTGTCCAATTGAGAGGTTCGCTTATCGTGTTCAGTGTTTAGTTACATACATGGTTTTTGAGGCCAATGAGATGTGTTCGGTAAATAATAGGGCGAACATGTGAAAGGTTTTGGACAGGCCATACACGCATTATAACATGTATGATCTGACACCCGTTCTTTGTCTCTTTTCTTTGTGTTTCGATTTATACTTTATGAGCTAAAAGTTTTGAAAGAAGTTGTGAAGCTATACGTGTAGAAAAAGCTGCCAAGACCAGTTGAGAAAATATACCGAAATGGAATTTTGTTCGGAAATACCCGACAGCGCTCTACAACATGAACCAAAAGACGTTAAAATATGGTACTTGTTGATCCTTGCCTGGCGCTCGGCATTAATGTGTACAACAAGGACTGGTCGGCTCGGAGTCAGTATACTGTGTCTGAGTGGGGCATTCATGCTTCACTGCGGCATGGTATCTCAGTGGGCTAGCACTATAAAACCAACTTCAGTCTGGGCTAGTACAAGCAGCCGCACATACATAAACACACGCATGCACGTCGTCATATGAGCGAAATATTCTCAAGCACGACGTTAAATCCAATTTCACCTCACCTCTACAACATGAAGCAGGCTAGTTGCTTCTAATGGAGTGAGTTTCCTGTTTATGTAATTAATTTTGATTATTACTTGGGAGGCGTTAGATGTGACCTTTAAATGAATCTGCTCAGTGTTTATATAACAATACGTCAACATTTGAAGGATGAGTCATGCACGAAACAAATTCAATTTGAAAATAGCCATACACCAGGTAATAGTGTTAATATGATCGTATTGCATTTATACTTAATAAACACTGATGATACGCTCGTTACGGGGTCTTGTCTCGGAGGGATTGTCGCGTATACGTCAGTAGATCCAGGATGTAATGCAAATGAACCTATTGACATCAACCTCCGCATCAACTGCAGCATTCAAAGAAAAGGCAAAGGGCGAATGTACCGTTAGTCGTGGGGGCGTACTCAGTGTAGACCACGCGTGCATCAGTCTGGTAGTATAGTTAGCTATATTCTACTGCTGGCCATGTGCATTGTTCGAGTCTGTGTAAACTGTGATCAATATCATGAGCATCGCCCAAGGCTGCTGGGAACTTCAACCAGGTCACGCGGTCTCTTCCCACCAGAGGCGGTGGGGTAGTCTAGTGGTTAAAGCGTTTGCTCGTCACGCCGAAGACCCGGGTTTGATTCCCCACATGGGTACAATGTGTGAAGCCAATTTCTGGTGTCCCTGGCCGTGATATTGCTGGAATATTGCTAAAAGCGGCGTAAAATTAACTCACTCACTCACTGTGCGTTATACGTTAATAATATTCAGTCGGTCAGGTATACATTAAGTAATATTCAGTCATACAATGTCGGTCACACAATATTCTGTATATAATCGAATTGATCAAATATCTGAGAGGTCGATAGCATGAGCACGGTTTTATGTAGAAAGAGGATACCGAATATTCGTCATGCCTCGTCACGTTACAGCCATCTAATCCTCATAGCAGTCTGAATTACGAATATGATAGTTAAGTGAGTGAGTATACTTTTACGCCGCTTTTTATGATATCACGACCGGGACGTCAGAAATTGGCTTTGCTCATTTCACTCATTAGGGGAATCGGTGTGACGAACGGACGCCTTTACCATTGGGCTATCTCAAGTCCCTGTGGCATTAAGGCTAATGGTTACAGGTATCATTGTGGTAGACAATGTGTGTTTCTGAGTCAACTTTAACTGCTGAAGATGTATTTGATAATGTCAGATGCATAAAAAACAAGTAATCGGAACCTAATGCATGGCATCTTTTATAGGAAACAAACTGCCTTGACATACTCACATGCAATAAATGCATTTCAAACAAAAGACCCATATTTTTCTAACGTCATCTTCTCTCATTAAATCAAAGTGCTTGTACATATAATCATTCTTGAAAAGGGTAACGATCAAGAACATGATTGCGCAAGGGACGGTGGAGTAGCCTAGTGGTTAAAGCGTTTGCTATTCACGCCGAAGACCCGGGTTCGATTCCCCACATGGGTACAATGTGTGAAGCCCATTTCTGGTGCCCCCAGCCATGATATTGCTGGCATATTGCTAAAAGCGGCGTAAAACTCACTCACTCATGATTGCGCAAACTCACGCATTCCAGTCGTTTACTCCCTGCAGCGCGGTTATCAATGTTTTTCGTTTACATACGGTTATCTCTGCACTGCAAGGAGCTTCCAATAACTGTTGTTTCCGGCCCATCCCGTGTGATGTGTTTTTCTCGTCAGTTTTTCGGGCTGTTTTTTCCGGCGGCTGCAGATAAGGAATGTTGTATAAATACACATACATCGAGCATCGGGAAGCCAGGCCTGATTCCATCATGGAAGTTGCACAGTCTTTCAAATTGGCATTTAATGTTTGAATACACTGAGTGTTGTTTGTTTGCATCAGTTCGTGTTAAAACATATCTGAAGGTGTTGCTGTTGCTGCTGCTGCTGTTGCTGCTGCTGCTGATGATGATGATGACATTTAAACCCACCGATTGTTATTTTCTGCATAGCTTTTGTTCTACATGTTCGCTTTCAAAAGTAAATTATCGCTTCTGATGCTGTTGTTGATCACTGGATTGTCTGGCCCAGACTTGATTATCAACAGACCGTCGCCCTACCTCGAATATTGCTGAGTGGGGGGTAAAAAAAATAGGAACCAAAAACCCCCAAACAAACATCTGATGTTGCTGTGCTGCTGATAAAAATATTTAAATTCAAAATATCTGTTTTCTGTCGGTGTTTACATTGTTGTGATTCTTTTCAAAAAAGAAAGAAAAGAGAGAAGGTATGATGCGGTTGGCAGATGACTTTAATAAAAGGATAGAAAATTAAAATATGTGTTATTTGGAGTTGACATACACGGGAAAATCACTTTTGACTAATTTTCTTGTTGGTAGCATCTGGCCTCGTGAAATAGTTCCGATAAATAGCCATACATACGATATAATCCAAAGCTATCGGGGAAGAGTGTCTCCGAACACAGATGACGTTGTTCCGATGTCGACGCAAGTGTTACTTTAGTTTCAAACATGGTATCTTACCTCTAAGGGATGTTTACACGTTGTGTTATAAATGGTATCCTGTTCAAGCAGGGGCTACAAAAGACATTTGGAATATC